ACCAAGAGACTGAGCTAAACTCCAGGCAAAAGAAAACTTAAGGATGGCCTGTATCGATGTTCCTTTCAACTGATACTCAAAACTCATGACTGAAAGCCAAGGATGGAAAATTGATGTCTTCAGGTGCTGTGAAGCTGTCATTTAAACATGATGGTTTGTTTAAATGCTCTCTGCTCTACCTCAGTGTGATTCCTGTGAATGTTTGTTGAGTTCAACAGACAGCTAACCTTTTAACCATATACTTCCTCCAAGGAACTGTCCAGTGTTGACGCTGATTGGCTTTAATATGGTCAAGTGTGAAATTGGAAATTCAAATGATGTGTTCAGTATTTGACATTTACAGATGTCACTGATAAGTGTGAAAGGAAAAATATTCAAGCGAGGCAAGTGAAAGAGCATTCTACATTTTCCAGCTCCTTGATTAGAAATACAGTAAGTAAGTATGTCAGTAAGTAGGTAAATCAATTTTACATGTAAAAAGAATTCTTCAAGAGTAAGTTTACAATAATAAGTAAAAGGCAGAAATAGTTTGAAAAACTGACAATAATTGCATTTGATCCATTCAACTTGCGTGCTAGCATTTGGTAAATATTTGCTAAAAGATTAAAGATTAAAATTGCACAAAAATGTGATGAAATAAGAAGTAAGTATTACAGAACTTGGTGGTGCCATCTGCAATAAAGATTTGCAACAGGATGGGAGTGGATTCTCCAAGATTCACGCATTCCCTGTATCTACACTAGTAATTAACTTTTGACTTCAATTCCTGTCTATGCCCGCCTCTATAAATCTTTTATTATTTTATTCAAGCTTTATTTAACCAGTAAGTCTCATAGTGATTACAAATGTCTTTCAAAAGAGACCTAGTCAAGGCTCTGGAACTGGCATACAGCAAATCCTCCTCCTTTACCCTCTCGGTCAGTTCTTGAAACTTTAAAACCATCAGCGAGAACAGAGTCATCAGTGACCGATTTCTTCAAAAAAATCAATTTTTGTCATTTTTACCAATATTTTGATCATGTCCATGTTTAGAAAGAGGACGTGTAACATAAAAATGAATGAGACCCAGGCCTGTTCTTTTTTATAAACCAAGAGGGGTGGATAAACAATTTAATAAGATTGTAGGTCCAGGGTTTAGTGAAACATAGCCAAGCATTATTAAAAAGGTATAACTATATATTAACCTTTTTAGTTTGGCAGTAAATTATTTGATAAAACTGTCACGAAACACATCGGGAGTAGATTTGAAATCGATTGATGAAATAGTCAAATTACACTCATTTGACAGGAAGAACAATTTATAACCTGCAGTACCCATGTTTGCCATAAGAGGGGGTGTAACACGAGAGAGGGCAACTTCCCGTCTTCTGCCAATGCACTGGCATTAAAGCTTGTATCACTAAAGAAGCTGCTGATGTCGTTTTTGATGCTAAAGTCTGGATGCGGTTACGCTAACGTTAGCTGGTTAAACACTTGTTACGGCTGTGGGTGTATTTGGGTGGGTTCTGTGAACACTGAGGTTGACAGATTGGTCTCATTAAAATACTGTTCAATGATGACATTGTTTTAGATACAGCTGCATAACCTCTAAACAGATGCCACAGTTGAAGTTAATTTAAGACAAATATGAGAGCAGTCCACCCAAGCAGTACAAACATCCAACAACTTGTAATGAGACCACAAATTCCGATTTATTTGATCTTATTTTATTTTGGTGGTAAATCTGTAGCTTGTGTTGCTACAACAAACTGCTGTCTGAACAGTGGGATGCTGAAGCTTGGACAGCTTGCGCTTTAGATCTTCTATTTGAAACTAGCTAGCCATTAGTTGCAAAATTATGGTCTTCAAACCACATGTGGCGCATCAGTCTTTTCAGGTTGACATGGAAATTTAAAATTTCAGTCAGTATGTCATAAATTCAGGAGTATTTCCATTCATACCTTACACATTGCGTGTTATAACTTTCTTTTAGTGAGCGACTGATGGTCATAAGAGTTGAAATGTCAACAAATGTGGAACATTTTTCTAAGAGCGCTTCATATCAACAAAAAAGGACATTCATTTTGGCATATCACTCAACTTAAGGTACAAGAACAATATGATCTAAAGGTCCTCTAATGTACAGAGGATAACATCTGGGCGTCAAAACACTCACTTAAACGTGACTTCAAGTTCACACACCATCACATATGGAGGGTGGGGAACTTTTGGGGAAATCTCTAACAGCGTGCGAGTAACGGATCATAAACTTTGGTGTTTGTGGCCGCATTTTTTTCTCTTTATTTGATGTTTGATGATTCACGATATTGGAAAGCCGGGGCTGTGAAGGCGAACTGCTTTATGTGTGTTGTTTTTCTCCCAACGATTCCACGGGGATGTCGAAGCATTACAAAAATCTCCTGGAGAGATAAACCGTGACACCAGATCCATCATCTACGTCACCGGGTCAGTTCAACTTGCCACTGCAGGTAGAGATTATGGATCAGTTCATTTCCTTAAATTGAGCCACAGAGCAGATATATTGCACATTAAAAGTCTTGATACTCGCCAGCAGACATTTATAAAAGCTAAAAAGTGGATAAGGGATACATCCATTCAGGAGGGGACAGATTTAAACTGGCTTGATTTTCCCAAGGCCTCGGTAACAAAAAAGGCGGTTGGAGAGAAAACTGAGGGTGAAATATAACCATCCTGAGTTTTGGGGATATTTTTTTCTGCACATGATTCATAAAACTTTAGATGGATGAAAGCCTCTGTGCGATGAATACTCGATGCAGCCCAAGGTTAAGATGCCCATTAGGGAGCACTGCTAAGGAGGATCCACAAATGATACCATGTGGAATTCAATTAGGAGCAAAAGGATGATTGCATGTGTGCTTATGGATAAAACATTCAGCCCACAAGTTCAGCATAGGTAAAGGAAGGATGTAATTCTTACCAGGACCTTTTTCTGGCTCAGTAATCAGAAGGAAACACAGCCTGGAGCTTTACAGAGATTAATAACAACCTTGGTAACAGTACATTTGCATTAGATGGATGAGAGCAGAACATTTTTATCAGACATCTGTTCTAATCTCAGACGGTTGGAACTGAGGCTCGCTCACAGAACCGAATAAAGCGCTGAACTGTTGCTAACACTGCACAGTGACTCGCCATGGACCGTCATCCAAGAATACCACATAAAACCAAATCATTCTTATAAAGTCCTGCTGTCCCCGTGGCTTTGAGCTGGGGCTTCAGAGCTTATAAAGGGGATACAGAACCCCTTTAAGAGACTTTGTGGCCTCGAGGTTAAGGTAACAGTTAATTGTTTCGCTTGTGTCGTGAAGATATTCGCAGTGAGCTCATGAATCAAGCATGTGACTTATGCATCAAGCCACATCCCCTCGTTCTCCTCATGCAGCACACAGCTTGTGATTTATGGCTGGACAGTGGCCTGCAGAGGTGTTGGATTCAATGAAATACAAGGGAGAACATCTGGAAAGCCTCTCAGCTACGAATCTTGGTTTTCGCCAGTTTGATAGCTGCCGCAAACCTCAGATTGACATGCTAGCGCACGCCAAGGGACGCGGTATCTTTCTCACTGAGCGGACGCATGTGAACTGAGGTTGATCATATTGTAAGTAGATCAATATTAATGGTCCTACTTAAAGCGCCAGGTGAGCTAACAAGAGCCTTAAATGAGCCTCTTCCATGTGTCCCTAATGCCTCCCAGATGTAGAATACTTCAGTCCTATTGGCGTCCTTGGTTGGAAGCTAGCGAGACTCTTAATCTGAAAAATGAAAAGGCCTTGATAGGATAAAACATCCATTCCAAAGCTGCGTGACACAGCCTGTGTTGCACAAGTCATTCTAGTCAAGGATAATTGGGAAAGAAGGAGCATCGGCAGGGAGTGTCTGAACAAGGTACCCCTGCCTCCACTCATCTCGGGCCGTAATAAGAGCGTGGGGAGGTGTGTTGAAACACAACCCCCGTCACTATTCATCCTCACCCCCTTGATGCAACAATGACTAGCATGCAGTCTGCTTTTCATTTAAGGGGAATTACCTTTGGGAGGCCAGCAGACGTCTCCTGAGTCGCTCTGTGTGTGTTCTTCTCATCCCTGCAGAGCTGTCTCATTAACACACAACGCAGCAGGCTCGCTCCAACGTAGCCCCATCTCTGTCCTGCTGCATGGAAGCTGAAAATAATGACTCACATACATTACCCGAGTCCTCGTTCTTGGTCCCTAGATCCAACACCGCTCCCCATGTCCCCGCTACACGGACCCCCGGCTTCTCTAACGAGTCGCCTGTAATGTTAAAGCCACTTAGGACCAAGAGCGAGAGAAACAGAGAACCTGAAGGCGGGAGCGGCGTGTAATGTGAGGTACCAGAAGTTGCACTTGCTTGGCCTAATTTATGACTTTCATGAGAGATTTTGTGACAGCGTGTGCAGCTGGCCTAACAAGGTTTTTGACATGGTACATGAGTTCTTATAGCTTCTCAGCGCGAAGCATGACCTGTTGTCTTACTTCAATTCAGAGTAGAGAAGCTATTACTCTTTTTCCCTGTAAAACATGTTTTACAGCCATTCAAAGGCCTAATTACTCAATCATCAGTAGGGTGGCTACTTCCTTTAGTGCACTTATGAGTTCAGGCGTCGTCTCACCGGGGTGGGGCTTATATCATTTACATTTCATTAAAGCATGCTGTGAGACATCATTGATTTCGCAGTGAAGCAGGAGTTTCCATGATGCAAGCTTATGGGTGGGAAGGGGGGGAGGTAGAGGTGTCACCCATCAGGAGCTGTCAGGAGCTGTCAGAGGACAGGATCCAGACCCTCAGCCAGGAGAGGCCAGGCCCGCCAGCTGTCACCTCTCTGACACTGGCTGAGACCATCCATCTGGCTGAGAGAGGCCCACCATGGGTGGAGAGGGACTCGCCAGATCCCAGACTACATGCACATGACGACAGGAATGCACACACAAGCAGGCATGTTTTACGTGCACATTTACAAACATTTATGCGCGCACAATGACATAAATGCACTTCGCATGCATGCAGCATGCCAGGGCTATTTTGGGTAATCATCGGAGCAATCTGCGCTGCTGTCCGCACGAATCATTCCCCGACAGAGAGAAACGGGAGTGACATGCTGCCATCAGGCTGAACAGACACAAATAAACAATTATAACACTTGGCTGTAACCACGCTTTCACATACACTAACCCTCTGTCTCCCTGAGTGCACCTTAACAGCAGGACTTTATTTCTTTCCATGAACCTTTGCTGCATTAAGGAGTACGTAAAAAGTCCTCTGCAAGCAATAACATTTGAATCAACTTTTCCCTTATCCAAATTTAGACATGTTGTAGTAGTTTGTCTATCTCTCGTTGGTAATATTTCTGGAATTTTAACTTCTATGTTGCTTAAGTGGAGCACCACGTTGGCCGAGTGTTGAACACATCCACGCTGGCAGTGTTTAAGTAAGAAGGGTCAGTAAAGTTGCCAGACATATGGAGAGCATTTCAGACTCAGTGTCAACCACAACACAATCCAGCGGGGTGTTGTACATCTTGTTTTGGTAACAACTCATTTTCATAAAAAATCTTAAATAGCCGCAATTGTCCTGAAATACTCTGGGTCTATTTAAGAAAAAGAAACACATTTAACTCAATTATTCATTTCACATTTTCAGTCTTTTTTCCACTGGAGACTGAAATTCATTGTGACTCATTTCATTGTCATGTAGGCATGTGTTTTAACTAAAAGCACATTACTCTGATAAATCCCCCTGTCATAACAGAAATTGATGGTGGGATTTCTGTCTTTTAGGTCAGCTCTGACTAGTTAAAAATGGATTTGTTTAAGTATTAAATGGTTTCACTTAGGTCGGGTAATGAATCAAACAAGGCACAGTTTAAATGTGGGTGACCTCCATGGCAAAGCTGTGCTGAAAAACTTGAGCGCTCTCCTTTTGTTAAGCTAAACAGACCCAAATACTTAGTTTGAAAGGTTTTTGAATCAGAGGATCTCAGATCAGTCATTCTGTTTAATACCCAGCTTTGTTAGATTAAAGCTACTGTGAGGGACTTTTTGGTTTGTTTTGGGTACCCCTCAAAGATGCAGTAGTACTTCTTATTAAATGTAAAAGTAGTGTTTCAGACACAAACTTTATTCATTAGTTTCTCTTGCTGTTATGCAAAAATGTAAAACAGTCATTTTTTTTCAGCCTGCTGTCCATCATCTGGCCCCGCACATACCCCCTCACAGCAGTTTCAGGCATTGAATATTACAACTGAGAAATAATCGACCTCTTGCTGATGGTTTAATTTGCTTTAGAAGGCCATAAAAGAGGCTTCAGTATCAGATTCAGTCTGTTTTTCAGCTAGTTAAAGACCCACTCCGATGAAAATCATGTTTCTCTTGTTCTTTATACGTTCATATGGCATTTTTCTGATGCTAAAGGACATAACATGAGAAAAATGAATGCTAAATTGCTTTTCTGAGTATTTCTTCATTCAAATCGCTGTGAATCTCTGTCAGACCCAAACAGCAGGTTCAGAAACAGTGAGTTTTCATATGTAACCAATTCAAGCTCCGCCCCCGGAGCCCCGCCATGCAGGTCACACTCTGCACATAGAGGAGAAATACAGAGGATAATCGCATAGCAAGTGTGTGCGTTAGCGGATTGCAATGCTCGTAAGACAGCTAATTATGTTACTAGCTTTCATCATGTCCCTAAAGTCAATGACACAGGCAACATTATTTTTGGTACAACATTCACAATTCAAAGACCACCGACAGTGGTCTTGGAGTGGGACTTTAAGAGGTCCTCGTAGCACCTTTATTTCAGACTGGTAAAACCCCAATACAAAAGATATTAATTTTCAAAAGTGACACCAGGGACAATACGATCGTTCAAGTCATATTGCTCACATTAGCATTTAGAATCAATAGGCTAAACATGATCAATATTTTTCCTACAAGATCCTGCCCCCCCGAAGTGATTCTGATTCACAACACATCAGGAAAAATGCACACAGAGCGCTCTTTTATCCTGGTGGAAATCTATGCTACCTCTTGGTGTTGAGATAAAACAGCCATATATGCACCACCAGACTGGCAATGCTAGCCTAGGTGTAAGTATTAGAATCTATTAAAGGTCATAATTTTTTTAGTTAAGACAGAACAAGTTAAAGTACATCTCTTGACACTCAAATGCTGCATATTATTCCAGTGAGCTCATCCTGCTTTCTTATCACACTCCCGAGACGAGGGGCAACAGTGAGAGAAATGTTGGTGAAAGCCCAGGGCAGACGCAGGAAGGCAAAGACAGACAGAGGAGGAGAGTGGGAGATTGAGATCAATGATAATGTGATCTGATGACATAGTTGAGCAAGCGGTTCCCCTCTGGTGGTCTCACCATCGACCAGCACAAGAGTGGAAGAGAGTGAATTCTGTTTGGATTGGCTTTAATCTTCCCATCAGACAATAGAAGGCAGGCGGTATGCTGCAAGTGTTTTCCATTTTTCGCCACGAGAGAATTGTGTCAGGTTCTGCAAGTGCACGAGCGCACATGCGTCAGTGTGGCACGTTGACAGGCAGCTTTTTCAAATAAAGAACTGACAAAGCTCTGAACCGAGCAGCTCGGCTGTGGAGAAAAGTATTTACAGAAACACATGCACATGACAACAGAAAACAAAAACAGAGTGATTCCCTGTAGTGCGTGGTTCTCAGAAACTGTCTATCCGTGGTGCTGAAAGAATACATCTCCAAATCTTGAAAAGGGCTACGCAAACTGTTTCCACCCAAAAGTTAATTCAAAATGGTTGCAGAGAAGTTGAACAATTCAAGAAAACTGGAAAGAAACTTTTGCAACGACTGTTTATGTAAAGTCAGAATCTTTGACAAATGGGATCATATGGTGTTTGTTATTCTAGACAAAGAGCGTGAAAGCAGATGATGAGAGATGCCCTTTGTTAGAGAAAATTTAAATCAAACAGAAAAATGTGCTCTGTGACTTTCCTACTTCTCTCCAAAGACTTGAGGCTCTGCAGGGCCTTTATTAATTAAATGTGATTGATGCGCCTCATAAACAAGATGGCAGAGAGGACAGACAAGCTTAAGAATCTGGGGGTTGGGAATATTTCTTTTTTTTATGCTGCTCAATTTTGGAGAAAATTCATGTTGTTCATCTTTAAACAGTGACTGTAAAAAGCAAAGGCGATGTCTCAGTGTTGTCACCTATTGACTGTTAATTCTTGTATCAGTTTGCTAACATGACAGATCTGACATGCTGACAGTTATTACTGTTGAATGAAGCTGCGCAATAGCATTGTACACATTCAGCAGGATAGTCGCCGGGAGTCGCCGTGATGGCGCTTGGCTCAAACAGAGTATCCCCCAGGTGAGCTACACAATCTTCCTATGCCCATAGGCTGTATCAAGTGTCAATCATAGAAAACATGAACCCCCTAATAACTTTTAATAATGGAGCTGTACAGAAAAAAGAGGACTTGAACACAAACCAGTCTTACAGTAACTACAGGTCAACATCGCAACCAGGAGGGACAAACATTTACATTCTAGGTAATTAATTTCTAAAGTTTGTCCACAGCTCCATAGGGATTGCTGGAGGAGGCGGGATCTATGACCTATACTGCAGCCCGTCACTAGAGTGTGCTGTTCTTGGCGTCCATTCTATATACAGTCTATGGTTCACATACAGTAACTCTCACCAGGTCACTAAAGTGCTTAAGTTTACTGTACAAAATCTAATCCCTGTCCATGCAGCAGGTTTTGATAATAAGCTGGACCAGGGTTGTCACCAAATAATGTCGAAGACATTGACAATCCCAAGACCAACACATACTGTCAAACTAGATTTTTTTACCTAAAGCATGACAACAGATGTATTGTTTTCTTTTTAAACACAAAGTATACTTGTCCCTGGTTTCAATCCAGCCATCAAACCCAAACTGTTTGGATAAAATACAACAGTCAAGCCAGGTTCTGTGTCCTCACCACAAAGATGAAAGCCGACTTCGAGGGGAATGCCCTTGAGAAACCATAATGAAAACATGGAGATTTTCCAAGAGTCTTCCTGGCCGTACAGAAGAAAATATTTACTCACTGACTTAACAATAAACGTTTCAGATGGAGATGATTGCCAAGACTTTTTGTGACAAAGACAGTGTGCTATCAGGAAGCTTTGAACGAACCCCAAACTCTAGTCAAGGCTAAGAGGACATGTCTGAATCCTCTATTAGACTCGAACACTGTGCACACCTTCATTCAGCCCCGAGCTCTGACAACCAATGTTTATATTGTGGTTGCAGAATCAGGGCATGGCAACAATGTTGTGTTTGATAGAGCCTTCAACGTTCAAACACACCAAAACAGGAGATAACAACCTCAAATTAAGTTCCTTATTAGTGGAGTTATGACAACATGATAGCTGCATAAATCTTTATGATGATCTTATCATGTTTTTCCTACCACAAACAGAGGCCTTTGTCTTTATGATCACAAAGCAGCTAAAGGTCGTTTCTTGGGACTATTTGTGACTACTGAGATCACTTTGTCTACAACCAAACACCTATTTTATCTGTCCCATTTGCAGCATTTATAGGTATAAAAGCAGTAAATTAAGAAGTGTTTCCACTGTGATGGTTGCTGCCATGGGGATCATAATGTTTTTGCCTTGGGCGCACTTAAATTTTTCATGATGACCAAATGTTAGCAGAAAAATAAGAGCATAGAGGTTGACTTGGACCTAAATATTCAGTCGTAAACATCATCACCCAACAGGGAAAGCTGGTTTTATATAGTATAATAACAACAATGACAAACAATGCTTTACTATCACTTCTCATAAATGCAAGGCCCAAAGACAAATCAGCTCTTAATAGAGGGCTTTTATTGTGATAGGAAATGGGTATTACTTCATTATAATGTCTCTACCATATTTAACAGTTTATCCACACAATTACAGTGGGCTCCCAGGTTGTATTGACACAGTAAAGCTTGGCCCAGAATGTGCCAGGAACTTTTATTGAGCTGATATTAATTGATTTGTCCTGACCTACCCAGACCTGGCCTCCCAGGGGCTTGGCTTCCTCAGCGGAGCAGCGCCAAGGTCTGTCCTAACTCTGCATAAAAATAAATGAGAAGCAATGGGGCTAGTCTTTAAAGCCAGAGGATATTGTTCGATTTCACGTCAGCCCTCCAGGAGGCAATTTAAACAACCCAGCATGCTAATCAAGTGGGTATAAAAGGCAGTTCTGGAGGGTGGCCCACTCTTAGGTTTTTTTTCTCTCCTTCCCATTGCAACAAGGCCAAAAAGGACATTAACAATGTGAGGAGGAAAGTGTAATTGGGCCCCTATCTGGAAGAACATTATACTCCTGTGTAATGTAACTATATGATGTGGAAAAGGAAACAAGTACCCCTGCTTTAAAAAGACATTCCCAGGCCACTTAGGCTGGCATGCCATTGTCTTGTTTTATGTCAAAATCCAGGAAAAACTCAAGTCAGGGTAACAATCATCCCAAAAAAAATGAGGCATGTTTAAAAATGTGTTCCCAGGAAGAATCTAGACGGCTTTGAGCCAAGATGGAGGCTCCCTGCTGCCATCAACACTTCAACTGAACGTCTCAGTGGAACCACATTGTGACCCTTGTCTGAGGAGGCACAGCCCAGTTCCCTGCAAATAATTCAATACTCTAATATTCCCCTGGTATTTGTTGTGACCACAGAAATACGATAGTGTTCATTTTCTGCTTGTGCCCTGAACCCACAGGTCAGGTGGTAGCAGATCACAGACTCCTCTGTGACTTGCAGGTTAAACTAATCATGCATGACTTTCTCACTTGGCCCCACCAGTACCTCCAGAAATCTACACCAGCTTGTGGGTGAACCTGCTTTTCATGCACTTCCATCACTGCAATCACTGCTGAGCACAGAAATTCTCCTTTAATATGTAGATGTTAAGTGTGACGCAACTGCTCTGCACCAATACCTCAGTGAACTTCTCTGAGTAATACCTCTGAAGACACTCTTACATATGCAGCTCCCATTGCACATTTCACCCTGAATTCAAAGTACCACCACATGTGTTTTCTGGATGTTAAAGATTTCAAATTAATCTTTAGACTTACAATCATGTGAAGCCATCATGTCTGTAACTGTGCACTGTATTTGTTGCCTTTATAGCTGAAGATGTCCTTCAGCTACTTCTATATATATAAAAATGTATTTTTTATGTTTGGATATCAGGGCCTGAAAAGAGGCAAGAGCTGATAAACACTGCCCCCTACTGGTAGATCAATGTCTCTACACTTACTTTCCAATACCCCTGATAAAGTGTCTGTGTCTGAGCATGAGTTTTCCTTCATTAATCTGGAGGGGTGTTGTGTTCATTTCTGCAGTCAAATCTATCAAAGTTTTCTAGCATTAAATTTTGTATCTTATCTTTTACTTTGTTATTATAACCACAATACATCTCTGAGGTAGAGTCAGAGCTTCGATTTTCCAAGACAAAGACAAAAACAGGATATAAACTACTCACATTCGCTTTTAATTTTCAGTGCAATGAAATTCCAGTACATCCATCATCACAACTTCTATTATTTTCCATCATAGCACCAAACTACAAGCAAGAAAAGCACAAACAGTTCAAGACAAGTTCACCCTGGGTTCCATTAAAGTCTGTCAAATTATTAGCAGAACAAACTGGTCTCTAAACATGTTAATGAGAGTACAAAATAAAATAACAAATATATAGTTTTGACTACAGAGTGGATAAAACAATCTCATTTTCATACAACACCGACAAAATATTTCAATTCTGTAAATTTTAAGGAGTGATATTATGCTTTTCCAGATTTACAACAAAAACTGCAAAGTATTGTACATATTTTACGTGGAAATTAGGGCATATAATTGCATAATAGTATACAATATAATTATTGTAAAAATAATTTCTTCATCTGCTCAGCTGACACCTACCCCCTGCATCAGTTTCCAGCATTAAATATTATGATAAAAATACCATCCCTAATCTGTCTTTCATGTCTTGTTTGATCAGGTTAATCATAAAAAGGCATCAATATGAGTTTTAGTCCGTTTAACATATGTCAAAAAACTGCTCATAGGAGCTTCAAATGTCTTCGTGTCACATTTAAATCATTGGTGCCATTACATCAAAAATTAAATATACAACTTCTCTTTTCTGATTTATAAAAACATACATGCAAAGCATAATATACACATTCATCTTTGTATTAATTAAAAGACACAAACTAAAATATTAAAACTGACAGTAGTGGTCATTAGTTAGTCACATACAAAAATCAGGTAGTGTTAAACATGAAAAAGGTAAAAGGACACACACTTGGGATTCACTAAAACAAAAATAGAAGTTAAGATAAACTCTTTCACTGCCTTTGTAAAATATATTCTTATTTTATCAAAAAACAAACAAAAAACAGCAATAAAAAAAAAGTTGCTGCTTCACTTTCTCTATCTGATGCCTCTGATTTCTCCTTTCAGCGTAAGAATTTTGTATTGAGGCCAATTTCAACAACTCCACCTTTCTGTAGTGCACCTTAATCTTCACTTCGGTTCTCACCATTTGACTTTGGGGTCTCTTTTACCTCTGCATCAGTTTTACCCTCACCTGTGCCTGCCTCTGAGGTCTGGCCCTTGCTTTCATTTAAGTCCTCCCCACTTTGATTCTCCTTTTCTTGAACTGGATTCATCTGTGGGGTGTCTATGGACTTTCCTAATGGGTCAGTGTTTACAGGTTCTTCAGTTTTTATAGTGGAGTCCAAATTCTGGGACTCTGCTGGACTTGGTATTTTATCATTACTTTCATTATCATTGACAGAGGCCCTTTTATTTTCAGCTGGAGAAACTGGTTCTTGAGTTTCTTTCTTTGGCGCAGTGGAATCTTGCTTGTTCACCATCGTATCTTGATCTTTCTGATCAGGACTGCTGGGTGTATCCTCCTCTGAAGATTTTGATGATTCATCTTTGTCCTGCTGTGATCCTGATGAATCAGATCCTGAAACAGTTTCTCCAAGAACCTGGTCTGCTTCAGGCTCTTCATTCTGTTCAGGAGTAGGGGACTCTGGCTGGGCAGGAGGAGAGTTTTCAGCTATTTCTTGAGCAGCTAAAGCTTCCTCACCTTCATCTGGTTTATCTGACACTGACATAGACACTGAAAGAGAAAAAAAAATAAGTGAAGAATGCACTGGTCTGCAGTAGATTTGTAGAAGTTGAACTGTTCACAGACTGTCAGGTATGACTTTCACTGATAATGAAAATAAAAGCTGATAAAGATGTTAAAATAAACCTTAGTTTTTTATTTTGCTCTACTTCTTTGTAAATGTTTTGGTCTGATTTTCTGATAAACTACAAGATTTAATGTATTTAAATGGTAGTAGCTGTAAGTCCTTTCTTTCAAATCTCCTCTTAAATGTTTCTTGGCCATGTCTTACAAACTAAATGTCACAAATTCTTCTGTTTTCCCAGATGGTGCACTTTTTCCTTTCATGTTTGGTTATTAAATTAAATTAGTTGGCCCAGCAGAGGACCTCTTCTGCCTCTAATTAAACCACTTCTCTGAACTGGCAGTAAGGTGTATTAACTTTCCACAAAGTGAAGATACTCCTTGAAATCTTTAATTTTTCTATTCTATTTTTCATTTATTTTGTATTTTTTTCTTTCTATATATTTTTTTATTCTGCTCAGTTGCAACAGATTTATCAGGCTCACCAGCTGGGTCTTGTTCATCTATTTCTTGAGAGCTTGAGGAGTCAGATGATGGGACCTCTATGTTTGCAGTTTCTTCTAACTTGTGTGCAGCATGACGGTTTGGATCCTGTTGAGGAGGTTGCTCATCTTCAGTTGAGGGAGATCCTGGGTTTCCATGCTCATTGCTGCCTCTTTCTGGTCATATAACAGAAAAAAGAAATATAGGAAAACAAATTTTTGAAAAGAGTGAATCACACAGAGGCGGACTCTGTAAGTCTGAGTCAAATACCCCAGTCAGCATCAATCTATAAAGTGAAACAACACAATGATTCAAACATTTCCTGATTGACAAAAAATTAATCAAGAATTCATCAGTATTCAAAGTCACTTATGAAGAAAAATAATAATGACTTGTTGATAACATTTTCTGGGATTGTGTGTGAACATTAACCTTTCCATGAACTAAAATTACCTGTGTTTCTTTCAGGTGGAGCCTGTTCACCAGGGACAGTTATTTTGTCTATCCTCTTCACCTCATCTTTGACGTACCCTGTTTAAAACAACATTTACAATCAGTCAGCTTAGTTTGTAGGACTTTTTACTGTGTTAAAAACTTAAAAAAATAACTCTGTATGGTGTAACCATCTGGTTGCATCAGACAAAAGACAGACAAACTTTAAAGGTATGTTCTGCATTCAAAGTTGGATGGGAGAGCTTCTATACAATTCAAAATTCATAGTTACACACGCACAGAGGATAGGAAGTTCACACAATATATGTCCATGAAAAAAAATTGTGTTCATTATAAACTGCTCATGCTTTAGTTTTAGTCTTTATGTTTTGTTTTATTCTGCCCAATTTAAAAGGTTTACCAACCTGGAGATCTTAAAGCAGAGCGCTCATCCTCAACAGATTCATCAGATGGGATCACATTGGGATCTGAGGAGTCAGACGGTGGGACCTTTATCGCTGGAGTTTCTTCAGGCTTGTTTACATCATGATAGTTTGTATCCTGTTGATGAAGTTGCTCACCACCAGGTGATGGGGCAGTAGATACAGTAGATAGGTTTTTATGCTCATCCTCAACAGATTTATCAAGCTCATCAGCTGGGTCTGGTTCAGTTGTTTCTTCGGAGTCTGGGGAGTTAGATGTTGAGACCTTTATCTCTGCATTTTCTTCAGGCTTGTCTGCATCATGATGGTTTGGATACTGTTGATGAAGTGGCTCAACTTCAGTTGTGGCTGATTCTGGGTTTTTATGCTCATCTCTGTCTCCTTCTGGATCACAAACAGAATAAAGAAATAAGATTCTTGAAGAGAGTAAATCACACAGTCAGACTCTAGTTGAATAACCAAGTCAGGATCAATCTGTAAAGTCTGAGTGAAACAACACAATGATTCAAACATTTCCTGATTGACAGAAAATTACTCAAGAATTCATCAATATTCAAAGTCACTTATAAAGAAAAATGGTTTTTACTTGCTAATTACACTTTCCAAGATTGTATTTGAACTTTCCATGAATTGAAAAAAAACCTCAGTATTTTTTTAAGTGGAGCCCGTTCATCAGGGCCACTGATTTTTTAATCTTCTCTATCTCCTTTTGGTCATGCCCTGTTCAAAGTGAGCATTAACAACCAATCAACTTAGTTTGTAGCACTTTTTTCTGTGTTGAAACTTTAAAAAATAATATCTGTTTTGTTGCTGCCATCTGGTCACACACCACCCTCACTTGATCCTGTCGATGGGGGAATAATACTCCTAATCAAAAAAAACATTGTAATTACTTGATTCTTATAGCCACTTTTTATCTGTTACGTTAAGGAAAAAAAAAGTCAGAATAAAATCTTGATATTAAGAATTTACTCTGTTTGGCCTCAGGCTTTGACATAAGTACAAAGTGGTTTTAGAAATCTGAAATATTAAAATTATTAAAAATATTGTTTGTAATTCTTGCTTAAATTTGTGTAACTGTTGGAGCAAACATAGTTAGTTTTATCACCTGTATAAAAACATTGTAAGAGGGCAATAACAGCAGCCTTACCTTCTTTTGAATTTTCCTCCTCTTTGCGAGGTCCAGTGTTGTTATTCAGGGTCGTATTATCATCTGAGGGCAAACAGTCAGCTGGCCCAGGAGAGGAAACTGATGATACTGCTTCAAGAGAAGGCTTGTCTCCGTCACCCTGAGCTGTCTCCTTATCCAACCCTAAATCCAAAAAAGACATGTTACAATTCATCTTGAGGGGAAGACAATTGTTTGAACCCCCTTTCTTTATAGTCAGTTTGGCATGTTTCTTTTTAAATTAAGATGGTGGCCTTAAAGGTCAAAACATGTTTCTCAACAACATAAAAACAACCGGAAAGTTTTGAATTAGAAAAAATTGAGTAAATTTTGTGTAAAAGAACTCTAATTACCTAATTAATTTCATTTCAAAAGTAACGTTACTACAAATTAAGTATTGACAAATCACATTATATTTATTGCAATTAAATGATCAGTAGCATGGCTGTGATGGTGTAAAAAAATCAAATCAAACATAAATAGATACTGTTTTAAATTGATTCAAAATGAGGCCATAATTTGCAGAGAGTTTGGGGAAAAACATACATTTAGTTAAAAGTGTTAAAAAAAATAACTGCAGTTAATTTGGAACAAAAATGAATTTGAGTTATTAAAGGTTATTATCTTTTTTTAAAACAGGAAAACATAACCGTGGTCTTTTGGTAATAAAGTCTGTCTTTCATTCTTTATTTTTTTGTTTATGGTGTCCGGCCTCTTTTTGACAAACCCTGAAAAAATAAACAGCCAAAACTTGCAAACTCAATTCAAAGAGCTGTAAGTTAGAATCAATAACATTTGTTGTATTGTACAGTTTTGTATTGTGCCATCTCATACACGACAAAGACAGAAAATCATCTTTAAATGATATCAAATTGACAGCCCGATCTAAACTTTGTGCAAAACAATATTTGGGTTGAATTTAAAACAAGAAAAAAATAATAAAATCTCATCATTGATTGTAGTAAAACTGTATCCACTTTTTGGAATGAGTGCTTTTTTCATTATATCTCAGGGACTTAATTATTTGTTCCTATGATCAAAATATGTGAGTGTACTCAGTGTCCCCTGCAGACTTGAGGAAGTGCAGTTTGTATATTGTAGCCAGTCTGCTGTATCTTGACCCTGTGTATTTGCCTAAGCTTGTTATCACAGAGTTGGATGAGAGAAACCTGAAATTTCATTTATTACCAGATTAAACAGTGGGTTAGTGCTTCTGATGATTCCACATCTAACTTGCACTTTATTTCTTTACCTTTCTGAACTAGATCTTCTTCCTTCTTTTGAGGTTCTTTTTCCTGATCCAAATCTCCATCAGCTCCTGTAATGTCAGCATGATTGCTCCGATCAAGTGAAGAAGTTGACCCTAAGGAGGGAGTTGTAGGTGGTTCTTTAGGCTCATCTATAACATTCTCTGAGCCTGAAACACAGAAAAAAAATTAAACTAATGCTTCAAAATATTAACACTGCTGTTACTTTGTTGTTTTAGTTTCTGGAACTCCAATTAAGAGCAATGTTGTTTGGGTTTATTTATTTTATATTACTTTTTTCTATTACATTTAAGTCCTTCAGTCTTGTTTCCACACCTGGTTGTTCAGAGGCAAGTTTCTGATCAGACTGCATGACCTCAGGTGATTGGCCTGAAACATGAGCTGGGTCTTGTTCATTTTCCTCCACAGGCTCTAAATGGTCAGGCAGTGGGGCCTCCTCAGATTTTGGATACAACTGTACATCTTCACTAGGTTTGACAGACACACCAGCTGGGACAGGATTGTTTGCCTGGTACTTGTTTCCTTTTCCACATCATTACACAGGAGTATAATGTTCTTTCAGATAGGGGCCCAATTACACTTTCTTCCTCACATTGTTAATGTCCTTTTTGGCCTTGTTGCAATGGGAAGGAAAGAAAAAAAACCTAAGAGTGGGCCACACTCCAGAACAGCCTTTTATACCCACTTGATTAGCATGCTGGGTTGGCTTTACAACACAATGATTCAAACATTTCCTGATGGACAGAAAATTAACCAATAATTTATCAATATCCAGTCGCTTATGAAAAAAAAAAAAAAAACTCGCTTATAACACTTTCCAAGATTGTGAATTTTCCATGACCTAAATTAACCTCTGTTTCTTTTAAGTGAAGCCAGTTCATCAGGGTCATCCTTTATTCTTTATCTTCTCTATCTCCTTTCGGTCACGCCCGGTTCAAAGCGAGCATTTACAACCAGTCAACATAGTTTGTAGGACTTTTCACTGTGTAAAACTTATAAAAATAATTTTTGTTTTGGTGTTGCCCTCTGGTCACACACCACCCTCACTTGATTCTGTGGATGGGGGAATAATACTTTTAATTAAAACATTTTGATTACTTGATTCTTATAGCCACTTTTTATCTGTTACGTTAAGAAAAAAAAAGTCAGAATAAAATCTTGATATTAAGAATTTACTCTGTTTGGCCTCAGGCTTTGACATAAGTACAAAGTGGTTTTAGAAATCTGAAATATTACAATTATTAAAAATATTGTTTGTAATTCTTGTTTAAGTTTGTGTAACTGTTGGAGCAAACACAGTTAGTTTTATCACCTGTATAAAAACATTGTAAGAGGGCAATAATAGCAGCCTTACCTTCTTTTGAATTTTCCTCTTCTTTGCAAGGTTCAGCTGGGTCATTTCGGGTCAAATCATCATTTGAGGGCAAACAGTCAGCTGGCCCAGGAGAGGAAACTGGTGAAACTGCTTCAAAAGAAGGCTTGTCTCCATCATCCTGAGCTGTATCCTTATCCAACCCTAGAAATCCAACAAAAATATGTTACAATTCACCTTAAGGGGAACATAATTGTTTGAACCCCCTTTCATTACAGTCAGTGTGGCATGTTTCTTTTTTAATTAAGATGGTGGCCTAAAAGGTCAAAACATGTTTCTCAACAACACAAAAACAACAGGAAAGTTTTTGATTAGAAAAAAATGAGTAAATTTTGTGTAAAAGAACTCTTATTACAAACAATTTCATTTCAAAAGTAACCTTTTCAACAAATGTTGTATTGACAAATTACATTATATCGATTGCAATTAAATGATCAGTAGCATGGCTGTGATGGTGTCAAAAAAATTCAATCAAACAGAAATAGATACTGATTTAAATTGATTCAAAATGAGGCCATAATTTGCAGAGAGTTTGGGGAAAAACATACATTTAGTTAAAGTTGTTAAAAATAATAATATTAACTGCAGTTAATTTGGAACAAAAATGAATTAGACTTATTAAAGGTTATAATCTTTTTTTGAAGGAAAACATAACCATGGTCTTTTGGTAATAAAGTCTGTCTTTCATTCTTTATGTTTTTTTTTTAATGGTGTCCGCCCTCTTTTGACAAACTAAACTAAAACTAAATTCAAAGAGCTGTAAGTTAAAATCAATAACATTTGTTGTATTGTACTGTTTTGAATTGTGCCATCTCATACACAACAAAGACTGAAAATCATCTTTAAATGATATCAAATTGACAGCCCAATCTAAACTTTGTGCAAAACAATATTTGGGCTGAATTTATAACAAGTTTTTTTTTTTTTTTAAATCTCATCATTGATTGTACTAAAACTGTATCCACTTGATGGAATGAGTGCTTTTATCATTATATCTTAGGGGCTAATTTATCTGTTCCCATGATCAAAATATGTGAGCGCACTCAGTGTCGCTTGCAGACTTAAGGAAGTGTAGTTTGTATATTGTAGCCAGTCTGCTGTATCTTGACCCTGTGTATTTGCCTAAGCTTGTTATCACAGAGGTGGATGAGAGAAACCTGAAATTTCATTTATGACCAGATTAAACAGTGGGTTAGTGCTTCTGATGATTCCATATCTAACTTGCACTTTATTTCCTTACCTTTCTGATCTTGATCTTCCTCCTTTTTAGGTCCTTTTTCTTGATCCAAATCTCCACCAGCTTTTGTAATGTCAGCATGATGGCTCTGATCAAGTGAAGAAGTTGACCCTAAGGAGGGAGTGGTAGGTGTTTTTTTACGCTCATCTATATCACTCTCTGAGCCTGAAACACAGAAAAAAAATTAAACTATTTCTTCAAATTATTGAAACTGCTGTTACTACGTCATTTTAGTTACTAGAAGTCCAGCTATGAGCAATATTGTTTGGGTTTATTTATTTTGTATTACTATTTTCTATTACATGTAAGTCCTACAGTCTTTTGACCTCAGGTGATTTTAAAGCAGAGATGTCACCAGAACCCTCATTCTCAACAGATTTATCAGGCTCACCAGCTGGGTCTGTTTCTTTTGTTTCTTTGGGGTCTGAGGAGTCAGATGATAGGACCGTTATCATTGGAGTTTCTTCAGGCTTGTCTGCATCATGACAGTTTGGATCTGGTTGAGGAGGTTGCTCCACTTTAGTTGGGGGAGATCCTGGGTTTCCATGCACACTTCTGCCTCTTTCTGGACCTATAACAGAAAGAAGAAATAAATGAAAACTAATGTTCAAAGAGAGAAAATCACACAGATGCACACTCTGTAAGTCTGAGTAAAATAACCCGGTCAGGATCAATCTGTAAAGTCTGAGTGAAACAACACAATGATTCAAACATTTCCTGATTGATAGAAAACAATTAAAAAATCATCAATATCCAAAGTCACTTATGAGGAAAAATGATAATGATTTGCTGATAAAATTTCCAAGGATTGTGTGTTAACATTAAACTTTCCATGAACTAAAATTACCTGTGTTTTTTTCAGTTGGAGCCCGATAACCAGGGACAGTCAGTTTGTCAATCCTCTTTACCTCCCCTCGGACATGCCCTGTTTAAAGGAACATTTACAACCAGTCAATTTAATTTGTAGGACTTTTCACTGTGTTAAAACTTTAAAAAATAACCTGTAATTTGGTGTAAACGTCTGGTCGCATCAAACGAAAGACAGACAAGATTTAAAGTTATGTACTGTATCCGAAGTTGGATGGGAGAGCTTCTATACAATTCAAATTCATAGTTACACACACAGAGGATAGGAAGTTCACACAATGTGTCTATGAAAAAATTGTGTTCATTATAAACTGCTCATGCTTTGGCTTTAGTTTTTATGTTTTGTTTTATTCTGCTCAATTTGAGAAGTTTACAAACCTGGGGATTTTAAAGCAGAGCGTGATAAAATTTGAAAAAATAACTTTTGTTTTAGTGTTACCTGGCCTTGGTAATGAAGATGTTGCACTGTCCTCGATCAGAGGTCTTTCTTCTTCGTGCTGAGCTTTATACCCATCTGACCCTTAAGCAGATCAAACAATATTTTGTTAGTTAAAATTGAGGAAAAAAAGGGGGAAGATGTTATTAGAGAAACAAACTTATGTTGAATATAAAAAAAAAATACATTTAAAAAAATTAAAAAAACAAGGATGACATTGGACAGTATCGTACCTGTATCAGCAGCTGGTGACTGTTTTTCAGGATCATTTGATTGTTTTGATGCAAAACATGCTAGAAGAGAACACGAGAAGGCAGAACGACAGAAAGAAAGAAAGAAAGAAAGAAAGAAAGAGAGTGTGTTGGTATTTTAAATTGTGAAATAAGAACTAGTTTAGAGCTTTTTCTGCACATATTACTGGTGTTCCTGGAAGGATTTCAGTTTTTAAATCAACAAAGAACTTTTTCTTTTTCACAACTTAATTTTAAGCTGTTATATAGAGTTTTATAAAAGGCCTAAAATCATGAATACAGTTTGCATGGCAATCCTCAAATAGAACTTTTGACATCCTTATTGAATGAAATATCTTTGGTAAAAGATTTTCTAGCTGAAGCACAATTTCTTTTGACTGTACCTTTTTTTCTTCTGAATAATATGACCACCACAGCTACAGCTATGAGCAGGAGAAGAATGACAGAGATACACACGGCAAGAACCACAGTTGAATCTTGACCTGCACAGACAAACAAACGACAAACATTAGAGCAGCTCATCACACTGCATTCATCACTGACATAATTTCATGCAGTGCTGTAACAAGGAAAGACTATGGTCCAGTTTCTAAACAGAAAATCATGCCGATATTCGTTATCATGGGACAAAATAATACAGAAAATCACTTTCAATCCTTGCTACACTCATTAATCTCAATTTTTTTTTCTTTTTCAGTGTTTCTTAGGAATTTCATATAACTGTTTTTCAAACTTTATCATAAAAATACAGTGTAGTTGTATTGTATACCGTTGTAGCACTCCTTTGCTGTGAATGTAGCTTTCTCACTGCTCACAGGGTTGCTCACTGAACAACTGTATTTCTCTTCGTCATCTTTATCTCCCAGAGGTATTTCTAACTTTGGTCCCAGTTGTAGCTTCTCCTGTTTCCCTGATCTCCACTCAAACTTAATCAGGGATTCAGGTGTACTGGACTCTGCAGAGCACAGCAGCATCGCCTTGATGTCAGGTGTATCTGAGGTGCTGTCCTTGTTCATCTCACAGGAGACCTTCGGCATGGGAACCTTATCTTCATAAAACCAGAAAAATAGGAATAAATTAGTACATAAATGAGTTAGTGAAACAAAAAGCTATTAATACTTTGTTTTTGCACTGCTTATAGACTTGTTTTGTCACTGCAATCACACTCCATAACATGCTGTTTATAAGAGTGTCTGTGTTATGATTTGATCTGATATATTAACTCTTTAAAGTCACTGTGTGTTAACTGAATGAATTAGTAAATTATCTTCCAAATAAAATAATAAGAAAAAACTTACCAATGACCGCCAGTTCATATTGTGAAGCATGTAAACGGTTGTTTATGTCCACTTCCAGTTCATAGACTCCACTGTCTGTGAATCTAAGGTCATGAATGTCAAGTTCTGCTGAGTGCCAGTCCAGAGTGATCCTGTCTTCATATGGGCTGTACACCTGCTGCTCACTGCCGTCAAACTCCACCACTTTGTTTCCATTATGCTTCCACAGAATTGTATTCGGCTGTCCAGGGAGGTCAGGCCTCAGATGGCCCCCTGTGCCCTTGAGGACATTTATTGACTGTCCAGCAACTATACAGATAGTAAAGAAAAGATTTAATAAAAGCACCACAAACATCGGAAGAGTTAGTGTTAAATATCAAAGGGTATGATAAGAAGTGGAGACCTCAGCAATATAAACTGGACTTTAAATCATACAGTCTGGTGCAAGTCATTCTGAAATCACTGCTCAGTCTTTCCTCACACTGTCAAATAGCTTTTGATTCAAACTGTACAAAGTGTGTCTCAACAATGAGAAGTTTAATATGAGTGATGGGACTCAAACAACCAGTTATTAATAAGCAGGTCAGCTACAACTCTCATTTTAAATGGAGAGGTAGTATGAACTTTTGAACCGGATCATGGTTTAATGATTAACTCAGCGTGTCCCGTCACGTCTGGATCTGCACTGTACTTTTCTTAAACTTACCAAACTAACATCAGCTCTACACAAACTCTGGGACAAACTCACCTAAACAGGAGGTACAGATGAAATACGCCAGGAAATAGAAACCAGCCATTTCAGAGGACCAGAAAAAACACAGGTGCGCGACAAGCCGCCGTCGTACATTTACTTTCACTTTGGATCGCAGGTGCAGGAATATCTCCACAAACAGCCTTCCAGATTTAGATACTCCAACAGCTCATGGGTTGTTGTTGTTCTCGAACAAGTTTGAACTAGTTCCACATCAAACTTCTTGGGGTTTACGCGCAGGTACAGGGGTGTGCCTGTGGGTTACAGATTACAGGTAGAAAAACTCAGGCGAAAGTATTTCGACCAGGTGTGATAAGAATTTCCGGTCTCGGTATGTTGGACTTTCACAATAAAATTAACATTCTCACACTTTTAAAACCGTAGCATCTCCGTGACTTTGATTGTACTTCCTAGAATAATCCAAAAACGCCGAGAATCATGCAGGAAGGGGAAAAGTTGACAATTGTTTTCATAAGTAGCCTACAAATAAGGACACACATAAGGACAAAACTAAACCAGCTGTTGGTTTAGTTGTTGTTAAAAAAGTTTTTGTTTCTCAGATTCATTGTTGAGGTTTTGAATGAAGAACAAAACGTGTTTTGAATGTTTTTTCCAGATATACTTTAGACATTTTTCAGTAAATATGAAGTTGATTTTAGTTTGAAATATTACCGGAAGCTTGACTTCGACGGGTTAGGATTCGATCCCTGTCAGTTTTTCCTTTCAGAGGTTTTTTTTTTTTTTTTTTTTTTTTTTTTGTGGCATGCTAGAGGAGTAGCAGGAGTTTAGCGATACCAGGAGATAAGTCAGTGCATTTTCCTGTTTCTCATTTATAAATGTGGTATCTTCCATCCTTTATTGTTTAAATTTTGATCCTCTCAACATTCACGGTGTGAAGACTATTACTCAACTTTATCTGTTAAAACCAACCACTTGATGGCAGTGTTGACAAATTGGCAGATACAGGTCTTTCTCGAGCTCTCAGTGTTTTTAATGGACAATAAAAAGAAACTATAACCAAGATATAACCAAGATTGAGTTATATCAAGTGGGACACAGACGAATGGATGAGATGATGTTATTCCTTTGGTCCATGTAGTATATTTTACATTACTCCATCTTTATTACCTCTTACTGTGTATAAATGTGTGCACATAACATGAACAGTTTTGGAGAATCACTTTGCTCAAAATTAATTCAAGTATTTTAAAGTTTTAAATCGGTTTTCAACTTTCAACTTTCCAGCAAGTAATGTCCCAGACTAGATAAACCACAATTTCTAGAAATTTCTGGCACAAGAAACAGTCATTTGTTTTTAAGTTTAAAAGGACATTTCCTGGAGAATCATCCACTAAGTGTGGAGAGGAGTCAGTACCATCTGTGGACACAGCAGTAAATAAAAAGAAAGACAGTCAGTGGTGGGTGATGTGGAAAGAGCTGATGAACTTAACCTGTTCTTTGACAGAACAGAACACTGCTGTCACACCCACTTCCACTGCTACTCCACCTTCCTCTCCGCAACAGATCTCCACTCCAACTTCTCCCCTTCCTCCTCCATCTTGTTCAAATGTCTCAACCACTTCAACTGCCTCCCTCCTAGAACACCAGTCTTTGTCTGTCACCAAAACAGGGGTGAGGATGGAGCTTGGAAGACTTTGTCCTGGGAAGGCAGCTGGTCCAGATGGTGTGTGTCCAAGGCTGCTTAGAGACTGTGCTGCAGAACTGTGTCAACCTCTCCACAAGATCTTCAACCTGAGTCTACAGCTGGGGCAGGTACCTACTCTGTGGAAAACATCCTGCATTGTGCCAGTACCAAAAACAAGATGTCTAGCTGAACTCAATGACTACAGACCAGTGGCCCTCACTTCACACATCATGAAAACCCTGGAGGGGCTGATTCTATGCCTTCTGAGGTCTGAGACATACTGGATTCCCTGCAGTTTGCATACAAAGAACACATCGGAGTGGATGATGCTGTCCTCTACATGCCACCATGCCCTGTCTCATCTGGAGAAACCTGAGGTTCATGTTCTTCGACTTTTCAAGTGCATTTAACACCATCCAACCTACCATACTCAAAGAGAAGCTTACAGAGATGGGAGTGGATCCTGCCTGTGTGTCCTGGATCACAGATTTACCTGACAGGAAGGCCACAGTTTGTAAGGCTGGGGAACTGTGTTTCTGGGACACAGTACCCCAGCACTGTCCCTTGTGGAGTACAGGGGCTCCACAAGGGGACAGTGCTGGCACCATTCCTGTTCACACTGTATACGTCAGACTTCAAATACAGCACTGAGTCCTGCCACATCCAGAAATACTCAGATGACACTGCTATTGTGGCAAGTATCAGAAATGGACAATAAGCTGAATACAGAGATCTGATAAGAGCCTTCAGTGACTGGAGTCACAAAAACTGCCTCCTCCTCAACACCTCAAAGACAAAGGAGATGGTCATAGACTTCCATAGATCCAAACCCCCTCTTCAGCCAGTGAACACCTGTGGAGTGGACATCGAAGTGGTGACATCATATAAATATTGAGGTGTACATCTGGATAATAAGTTGGACTGGTCTAAGAATATAGACTACATCTACAGAAAGGGGCAGAGCCGCCTCTTTTGCCTGAGAAGACTCTGATCAACAAACATCTGTAGTAAGATGCTGCAGATGTTTTATCTGGCGAGTGTTCTGCTCTATGCTGCAGTCTACTGTGGAGGAAGCATCAAACACAGAGTGCAAAACGTCTTAACAAACTGGTGATAAAGGCTGGCTCTGTGGTTGGACTCAAGCTGGACTCAGTGGAGGATGTGGTGGAGAGATCTACACTGAGGAAGGTGGAGACTATTCTAAAGAACATGGATCACCCACTTTACAACATCTTGATGGACCAAAGGGCCAATGGTGGTGGACGGCTCCTCTCTCTTCACTGCAGGACAGAAAGATTCAGAAGATCTTTTGTATCAACAGCCATTAGACTTTATAACTCTTCTGTACATGGTAGATGACTTTTGGAAACATGACAAATGAGAGGACAGACAATTGAATTTCCCTTTGGGGATCAATACAGTTCTTATTTTTATTAAATATACAACTTCTGTTTTCTGATTTATAAAAAACATACATGCAAAGCATAATATACACATTCATCTTTGTATTAATTAAAAGATACAAACTACAATATTAAAACTGACAGTAGAGGTCAGCTGTTAGTCACATATAAAATTCAGGTAGTGTTAAAAATGTAAAAAGGCACTTGGGATTCACTAAAACAAAGAAGTTAAGATCAACTCTTTCACTGCATTGGTAAAAATTACCTTATTTTTGATTAAAAAAAAAAAAGACAACAGGAATAAAAAAGGAATTACCACCTCACTTTCTCTATCTGATGCCTCTGATTTCTCCTCTCAGTTTGAGAATTTTGTATTGAGGCCAATTTCAACAACTCCACCTTTCTGTAGGGCACCTTAATCTTCACTTCGGTTCTCACCATCTAACTTATGGATCTCTTTTACCTCTGGACCAGTTTTACCCTCACCTGTGCCTGCCTCTGAGGTCTGGCCCTCGCTCTCATTTAAGTCCTGCTTACTTTGATTCTCCTTTTCCTGATTTGGATTCATCTGTGGGGTTTCTGGGGACTTCTCTGATGAGCCATTGTTTTCAGGTTCTTCTGTTTCTTTAGTGGAGTCCAAATTCTGAGACTCTGCTGGACTTGGTATCTTATCCCCACTTTCATTATCTTTGACACAGTCCCTTATCCCCATATCTTGATCTTTCTGATCAGGAGTGCTGGATGTCTCCTCCTCTGAAGATTTTGAAGATTCGTCTTCGTTTTGCCATGATCCTGATGAATCAGATCCTGAAACAGTTCCTCTAAGAACCTGGTCTGCTTCAGCCTCTTCATTCTGTTCTGGAGTAGGAGGGGACTCTCGCTGGGCAGGAGGAGAGTTTTCAGCTGTTTCTGGAGCAGCTGGAGCTTCCTCACCTTTATCTTGTGCACTGGTCTGCAGTGGATTTTTAAAAGTTGAAACTCTTCACAGACTGTCATGAATGACTTTCACTGATTATGAAAATAAAAGCTGATAAAGATTTTAAAACAGAACTTTATTTTTTATTTTTCTCTACTTCTTTGTAAATGTTTTGGTCTGATTTTCTAACAAACTATGAGATTCAATGTATTTCAATGGTAGTAGTTGTAAGTCCTTTCTTTCAAATCTCCTCTTAAATGTTTCTTGGACATGTCTCAGACTAAATGTCACAAATTCTGCTGTCTTTCTCAGATGGTGCACTTTTTCCTTTCATGTTTGGTTATTAAATTAAATCAGTTGGCCCAGCAGAGGACTTCTCTTCTGCCTCTAATTAAACCACTTATCTGAACTGGAAGTAAGGTGTATTTACTTTCCACAAAGTGAAGATACACCTTGAAATCTATTATTTTCCTATTCTATTTTTCATTTATTTTATACATTTCATTTTTTTGTTTATATTTTTTTATTCTGCTCAGTTGCAACAGATTTATCAGGCTCACTAGCTGGGTCTTGGTCATTTGTTTCTTGAGGGTCTGAGGAGTCAGATGATGGGACCTCTATATTTGCAGTTTCTTCTAACTTGTGTGCATCATGATGGTGTGGTCAGGCAGTGGGGCCTCCTCAGATTTTGGATACAACTGTACATCTTCACTAGGTTTGACAGACACACCAGCTGGGACAGGATTGTTTGCCTGGTACTTGTTTCCTTTTCCACATCATATGTATAGTTACATTACACAGGAGTATAATGTTCTTTCAGATAGAGGCCCAATAACACTTTCCTCCTCACATTGTTAATGTCCTTTTTGGCCTTGTTGCAATGGGAAGTAAAGAAAAGAAACCTAAGAGTGGGCCACCCTCCAGAACTTCCTTTTATACCCACTTGATTAGCATGCTGGGTTGTTTAAACAACACAATGATTCAAACATTTGCTGATTGACAGAAAATTAACCAATAATTTTTCAATATTCAGTCGCTTATAAAAATAAATAAATAACTCGCTTATAACACTTTCCAAGATTGTGAATTTTCCATGACCTAAAATAACCTCTGTTTCTTTTAAGTGAAGCCAGTTCATCAGGGTCATCCTTTATTTTTTATCTTCTCTATCTCCTCTTGGACATGCCTGGTTCAAAGCGAGCATTTACAACCAGTCAACATAGTTTGTAGGACTTTTCATTGGTGAAACTTATAAAAATAATTTTTGTTTTGGTGTTGTCCTCTGGTCACATACCACCCTCACTTGATCCTGTGGATGGGGGAATAATACTTTTAATTAAAACATTTTGATTACTTGATTCTTATAACCACTTTTTATCTGTTACGTTAAGAAAAAAAAAGTCAGAATAAAATCTTGATATTAAGAATTTACTCTGTTTGGCCTCAGGCTTTGACATAAGTACAAAGTAGTTTTAGAAATCTGAAATATTAAAATTATCAAAAATATCTTTTGTGATTCCTGTTTAAGTTTGTGTAACTGTTGGAGCAAACACAGTTTTATCACCTGTATAAAAACATTGCGAGAGGGCAATAACAGCAGCCTTACCTTCTTTTGAAATTTCCTCTTCTTTGCGAGGTCCAGTGTTGTCATTCAGGGTCGTATTATCATCTGAAGGCAAACAGTCAGCTGGCCCAGGAGAGGATACTGGTGAAACTGCTTCAAGAGAAGACTTGTCTCCATCACTCTGAGCTGTATCCTTATCCAACCCTAGAAATCCAACAAAGATGTGTTACAATTCATCTTAAGGGGAACATAATTGTTTGAAACCCCTTTTATTACCGTCAGTGCAGCATATTTCTTTTTAAATTAAGATGGTGGCCTAAAAGGTCAAAACATGTTTCTCAACAACAAAAAACAACCAGAAAATTTTGGATTGGAAAAAAATGAGTACATTTTGTGTAAAAGAACTCTAATTACAAAAAATTTCATTTCAAAAGTAACCTTTACAACAAATGTTGTATTGACAAATTACATTTTATCGATTGCAATTAAATGATCAGTAGCATGGCTGTGATGGTGTAAAGAAAATCATATCAAACATAAATAGATACTGTTTTAAATTGATTCAAAATGAGGCCATAATTTGCAGAGAGTTTGGGGAAAAACATACATTAGTTAAAGTTGTTAAAAAAAAAAACTGCAGTTAATTTGGAACAAACATGAATTAGAGTTATTAAAGGTTATAATCTTTTTTTGAAGGAAAACATGACCATGGTCTTTTGGTTATAAAGTCTGTCTTTCATTATTTATGTTTTTTTTTTTTTATGGTGTCCGCACTCTTTTTGACAAACCCTGAAAAAGTAAACAGCCAAAACTTGCAAACTCAATTCAAAGAGCTGTAAGTTAGAATCAATAACAACAACAATATTTGGGTTGAATTTAAAACAAGAAAGAAAAAAAATCTCATAATTGATTGTAGTAAAACTGTATCCACTTGTTGGAATGAGTGCTTTTATCATTACATCTTAGGGGCTAATTTATTTGTTTCCATGATCAAAATATGTGAGTGCACTCTGTGGCCCCTGCAGACTTGAGGAAGTGCAGTTTGTATATTGTAGCCAGTCTGCTGTATCTTGACCCTGTGTATTTGCCTGAGCTTGTTATCACAGAGGTGGATGAAAGAAACCTGAAATTTCATTTATTACCAGATTAAACAGTGGGTTAGTGCTTCTGATGATTCCACATCTAACTTGCACTTTATTTCCTTACCTTTCTGATCTTGATCTTCTTCCTTTTGAGGTCCTTTTTCCTGATCCAAATCTCCACCAGCTTTTATAATGTCAGCATGATGGCTCTGATCAAGTGAAGAAGTTGACCCTAAGGAGGGAGTGGTAGGTGTTTTTTTACGCTCATCTATATCACTCTCTGAGCCTGAAACACAGAAAAACAAATTAAACTATTTCTTCAAAATATTGAAACTGCTGTTACTACGTCATTTTAGTAACTGGAAGTCCAGCTACGAGCAATGTTGTTTGGGTTTATTTATTTTGTATTACTATTTTCTATTACATGTAAGTCATACAGTCTTGTTTCCACACCTAGTTGTTCAGAGGCAAGTTTCTGATCAGACTGCGTGACCTCAGGTGATTTTGAAGCAGAGATGTCACCAGAGCCCTCATTCTCAACAGATTTATCAGGCTCACCAGCTGGGTCTGTTTCTTTTGTTTCTTTAGGGTCTGAGGAGTCAGATGATAGGACCGTTATCGTTGGAGTTTCTTCAGGCTTGTCAGCATCATGACGGTTTGGATCTGGTTGAGGAGGTTGCTCACCACCAGGTGACAGGGCAGTAGATACTAGGTTTGTATGCTTATCCTCGTCAGATTCATCAGGCTCACCATCTAGGTCTGGTCGATTAAATTTTTGAAGGTCTGAAGATTCAGATGGAAGGACCTCCGACTTCGCAGTTTCTTCGGGCTTGTCTGCATCATGATGGTTTGGATCCTGTTGAGGAGGTTGCTCCACTTTAGTTAGGGTGAATCCTGGGTTTCCATTCACACCTCTGCCTCTTTCTGAACCTATAACAGAAAGAAGAAATGAGGAAAACTAATTTTTGAAGAGAGTAAATCACACAGAAGCAGACTGTAAGTCTGAGTCAAATAACCCAGTCAGGATCAATCTGTAAAGTCTGCGTGAAACAACACAATGATTCAAACATTTCCTGATTGACAGAAAGTAACCAAGAATTCATCAATATTTCAAGTCAATTATGAAGAAAAATAATAATGACTTGCTAATAACATTTTCTGGGATTGTGTGTGAACATTAAACTTTCCATGAACCAAAATTACCTCTGTTTCTTTCAGGTGGAGCCCGTTCATCAGGGTCATTCATTTTGTTAATCTTCTCCATGTTCTCTATCTTCTTTATCTTCTCTCGGACATTCCCTGGTAAAGAAACATTTACAACCAGCCAACTTAGTTTGTAGAACTTTTCACTGTGTTAAACCTTAAAAAAAATAACCTGTGATTTCGTGTAACTGTCTAGTCGCATCAAACGAAAGACTAATTTTCAAGTTATGTTCAGTTGTCAATGTTGGATGGGAGAGCTTCTATACAATTCAAAATTCATAGTTACACACACAGGATAGGAAGTTCAAACAATTTATATCTATGAAAAAACATTGTGTTCATTATTAACTGCTCATGCTTTGGCTTTAGTTTTTATGTTTTGTTATATTCTGCTCAATTTGAGAAGTTTAGAAACCTGGGGAATTTTTTAAGCAGAGCGCTCATCCTCAACAGATTCATCAGACTCATCAGCTGGGTCTGGTTTATTTGTTTCCCTGGGATCTGAGGAGTCAGATGATGGGACCTTTACTGTATTTTTTACTGTGTTAAAATTAAAAAAATAACTTTTGTTTTAGTGTTACCTGGCCTTGGTGATGGAGGTGTTTCATTGTCCCCGAGAAGAGGTTCTTTCTCTCTATCCTGAGCTGTATTCTTATCTGACTCTTAAGCAGATCAAAAAATATTTTTGTTAGTTCAAAGTAAGAAAAGAAAAATGTTAAAAAGGAAAATGTAATGTTAAAAACACCATGGATGATATTGAACAGTATCGTACCTGTATCAGCAGTTGGTGACTGTTTTTCAGGATCATTTGATTGAAAACATGCTAGAGGAGAACACGAGAAGGCAGAACAACAGAAAAAAAGAAAGAAAGAAAGAATGTGTTGGTATTTTAATTTGTGAAATAAGAAGCAGTTTAAAGCTTTTTCTGCACATATTGCTGGTATTCCTGGAAGAACTTTTGTTTTTAAATCAACAAAGAACTTTTTATTTTTCTCCATTTAATTTTAAACTGTTACACAAAGCTTTAAAAGAAGGCCTAAAATCATGAATTCAGTATGCATGGCAATTTTCAAATACAACTTCTGATACCCTTAGTAAATGAAATATCTTTGGTAACAGATTTCCTAGCTGAAGCATAATTTCTTTTGACTATACCTTTTTTTCTCCTTCTGCAGTACCATATGCTGCCCACCACAGCTATGACCAGGAGGAGAATGACAGAGATACACACAGCAAGAGCCCCAGATGAACCTTCAGCTGTGCAGACAAATACAGAACAAGTGTTTAAGCAGCTTATCACACTGCATTCATCACTGACATAATTTCATGCAGTGCTGTAACAAGGAAAGACTATGATCCAGTTTCTAAACAGAAAACATGCCAATATTCTTCATCATGGGACAAAATAATTCAGGAAATCACTTTAAATCCTTGTTACACTCATTTATCTACTTTTTTATTCTTTTTCAGTGTTTCTTGGCAATTTCATATGACTGTTTTTCAAACTTCATCATAAAAATACAGTGTGGTTGTATTGTATACCGTTGTAGCACTCCTTTGCTGTGAATGTAGCTTCCTCACTGCTCAGAGGGTTGCTCACAAAACAACTGTATTTCTCTTCATTGTCCTTATCTCCCAGAGGTATTTCTAACTTTGGTCCCGATTGCAGCTTCTCCTGTTTCCCTGATCTCCACTCAAACTTCATCAGAGATTCAGGTGTTCTGGACTCTGCAGAGCACAGCAGCGTCGCCTTAATGTCAGGTGTATCTGAGGTGCTGTCCTTGTTCATCTCACAGGAGACCTTCGGCATGGGAACCTTATCTTCATAAAACCATAAAAATAGGAATAAATTAGTACTTAAATGAGTTAGTGAAACCAAAAACCTACTGATGCTTTGTTATTGCACTGCTTATAGACTTATTGTGTCAATGCAATCACACTCCATAACATGCTGTTTATATCAAGAGTGTCTGTGTTATGATTTGATCTGCATTGTAAAATTATTTAAATCTACATCCAGCTTCAAAATCCTGATAGATAAACTCTTAAAAGTCACTGTGTGTTAACTGAATGAATAAGTAAATTAGCTTCCAAACAAAATGATAAGAAAAAACTTACCAATGACCGCCAGTTCATATTTTGAAGCATGTAAATGGTTGTTTATGTCCACTTCCAGTTCATAGACGCCACTGTCTCTGAATCTAAGGTCATGAATGTTAAGTTCCGCTGAGTGCCAGTCCAGAGTGATCCTGTCTTCATATGGGCTGTACACCTGTTGCTCACTGCCATCAAACTCCACCACTATGTTGCCATTATGCGTCCACAGAAGTGCATTCGGCTGTCCAGGGAGGACAGGCCTCAGATGGCCCCCTGTGCCCTTAAGGACATATATTGGCTGTCCAGCAACTATACAAATAGAAAAGAACAGAGTTGAGAAAAGCATTACTTACATCAGAAGAGTTAATGTTATTATAAATATCAAAGGGTATGATAAGAAGTGGAGACCTCAGCAATATGAACTGTCAAAAAGCTTTTGTTTTAAATCTTAGTACTGTATGAAGTGTGTCACAACAGAAGTTATGAAGAAGAGAAGTTTAATATGACTGATGGGACTCAAACAACTAGTTATTAATAAGCAGGTCAGCTACAACTCTCATTTCAAATGGAGAGTTGGTATGAACTATTGAACCCGATCATGGATAAATGATTAACTCGGCATGTCTTATCACGTCTGGATCTGCACTGTACTTTTCATAAACTTACCAAACTAACATCAGCTCTACACAAACTCATCGACAAACTCACCTAAACAGGAGGTACAGATGAAATACGCCAGGAAATAGAAACCAGCCATTTCAGAGGACCAGAAAAATCACAGGTGTGCTACAAGCCGCCGTCGTACATTTACTTTCACTTTGTCGTCGCAGGTGCAGGAATATCTCCACAAACAGCCTTCCAGATTTAGATACTCCAACAGCTCATGGGTTGTTGTTGTTGTTGTTCTCGAACAAGTCTGAACTAGTTTCACACCAAATTTCTTAGGGTTTACGCGCAGGTACATAGGTGTGCCTGTGGGTTACAGATTACAGGTAGAAAACTCAAGCGAAAGTATTTCGACCAGGTGTGATAAGAATTTCCGGTCTCGGTATGTCGGACTTTCACAATAAGATCGACATTCTCACACTTTTAAAACCGTAGCACTAAGCTTCTCCGTGACTTTGATTGTACCAACGCCATACAATCATGATTCCAAAAACGCCGAGAATTATGCAGGAAGGAGAAAAGTTGACAATTGATTTCATAAGTACAAAACCAGGACAGTTGTTGGTTTAGTTGTTATCTTCACTAAAATGGAGTTGTAAGTATTTCGACCAGGTGTGACAAGAAATTTCCGGTCTCGGTATGTCGGACTTTCACAATAAGATCGACAATCTGACACTTTATTTACCCATAGCTCACAAGCTTCTTCGTGACTTAGGTAGAACCAGAAATAATCCGAAATAAAATTCTGCTGGGAGCTAAAATGTTGGCAATTGTTTTCATAAAGACAAAACCAAAACAGCTGTTGGTTTAGTTGTTGTTAAAAGGCGTGTGTTTCTCAGCTTCACTGTTGAGGTTTTACATGAAGAGCAAAACGCGTTTTGAATGTTTTTCCAGGTGTACTTTTAACATCTTTCACTAAACATTAATTTGATTTGAGTTTGAAACTTTACCGGAAACTCGACTTTGACGGGTTAGGTTTAGAGCCCTGCCAGGTTTTTCCTTTGAAACGGTTGAGAGTTTTTTTTTTTTTTTTGGCATGTTAGAGGAGTGGCAGGAGTTTAGCGACACCTGGAGAAAAGTCAGTGCATTTTCCTCTTCTTTATATGTAAATGTGGTATTTTCCATCTTTTGTTGTACAAATTTTGATCCTCTCAACATTGACGGTGTGAAGACTATTACCAAACTTTATCTGTTAAAACCAACCACTTGATGGCAGTGTTGACAAATTGGCAGGTAAAGGTCTTCCTCGAGCTCTCGGTATTTTAATAGACAATAAAAAGCAACTCTGTGTCAAAGGGCCATCAGGGTGAAGTTGTATAAAGTTGGACACAGACGAATGGATGAGAAAGGATGTTATTTCTGTGGTCCATGTAATATTTCACATTACTTCAACTTTATTACCTCTTAATCACTTTGCTCAAGATTAATTCAAGTAGTCCCAGACTAGATAAACCACAATTTCTAGAAATTTCTGGCACAAGAAACAGTCATTTGTATGTCATTTCACTTTTGAGTACAATATTTCCTCTCTCTCTTTTTTTTCAGTTTATAAGGACATTTCCCGGAGAACTGCAAATGAGGTAATATTATTGGTTTTACCCTGGACCTTCCATGACAGCCAGATCTTTGAAGACAGGTGTATTCTTATTCCTCAAAATACATTTATTTCATCTAAGTGTTACTTCATTTGTGTCAGCTGCAGTGATAATCATGTTTTATAATTTTTTAGTTTATAATTTACTGAGAAAAAGGACTTGTTGGTTTTGATTTTGACAAATCCATTGTTAGTGTTTCTTATACATTTATCTTTATCACATCAAGTTTAAGCAATATACGTTTGTTTCGCTTTCAATGAAACATGATAACTGACCTATGGTGACACAAAAATAACACTTCACACAGAAAAGTTGTAGTATTTTTGATTACTTTCCTTCACTTTTTCTATTTCAGTCTCTCTTTCAGCAACTGTTTTGCTGTGTTTGTTACTGGCACTCCGATGGCGCCGTGACTTTGTGTATGTGGGTGTAGGACTTCATCAGGGTCACACTGCCATGGTGTGACACCCCCATAGGTAAAACACACTCCTCTGTTAGCACTCCTCGGCCGACATCCCAGCACATCACTGTAGAGATGACTTGGTTTTTGTTATCCCGTCCCCCAGTGATGAAGAGTTTGTCGTTGCAGGCAGCGATGGCGCAGCTTGCCCTCTCGCCCAGGCGGGTCACAAGGGACCAGGAGTCTGACAGGGGTGAGTAGCAGTACATGGCATTCATAGCGCCACCTGGGAGAAAACAAAATAATTGTATTAATGCCAGGAATCATTTTTATCACCAAGACTTTGTGTTTAAACATTCTTTGATTTAACCATCAGTACCTTTTAAAATGATATCTGTCATCACATATATCAAATTTACATAAAGCTATACATTTACATTGATTGAGAAACAATTGGTGGCCAATATCTTTCACAGTTTTTTTAACGCATGATGTAACTATTTCACATGATATGACTGTATAAGAAGGATGCATGAGTATTTAACATTATTTTTAAATTTAACTCATCAATGTTAATTCATATTCTGTTTGGTCTGCATATTCTTGTTGACATCTATTAGTAAGAAATCTTTAGTGAAGTAAAAGTATTGTGAAGTTGCCAATAATCCCCATCTTTAGCAAATACCTCAAGTGTATTATCCACGAATGCTAACGTACCAACTATATAGATGCAGCTCTTGAATGTGACTGCATTAGTGCATTTGGTTTCGATGGGAATGGGTGCCCGCAGGTTCCAGCAATCTGTCCCAGGTTCCCAGCACTGAACCTGATCAGTCGCCAGCTTTCCATTTGGCCCTCCACCAATCACGTAGATCCATCTGTCAAAGCTAGCTGCTGCAAAGGAGCTAACACCAACTGCAAGAGGTGTCGCCTGCAAAAAGAGCCAAAGTGGCATTTCAGTAGGTGTGTTACATATGTCCAGCAGATGTCCAGCAGATTTACCGTGGATGTAAAGGTATTTTGTGCCTGGTGTACATAATATTAGCACTAGTTAAAGAGATCCACGTTACAGTTTCTAAATGCCCCTTTTAACTTTTTATGACAGAATAAAGAAGCTGAACTTGTGGATTTCACTTTCTAGATTGAAATGCCCTCTTGCTCACCTCTCTTGACTTTGAGGACCAGAAACTGCTGCGTAAACTGTATGATCCTTTATTTGTCAAGTTGTTATTATCATAAACATCAATACTTTTATACAGAAAAATAACAACCACTATTCTCCTTTTCGTCTCCTAATTTGTTCATTCGGTGCAGCCAATCACTATAAACAAAATCAAGTGTGGCCCTCACTAGTTTGACCCCTTTGTGCTCCAGAAGAAGGGATCAGCTCCTTATTCAGACTATTAGAACCAAAGTAATTCGGCTAAATTATAAATATGAACTCATTTATAAATATTGTATTTTATTTATATGTCATTATAATCTGTAGTTATTTCTGCCAAGTCTGTTCTACCAAACTCCCCCTCATAAGTCTGTACCCTCTTGTCTCAGCCAGTCACATCTTTCTAACTCTTTTCCAAGCAAGTTCACAAAAACTGTTTTGTTACTGAGCACATCTACTACACCCTTTGAGTTTAATGTTCCACAGAAAATCAAGTTCTCTTTGAAGGTCAAAAATGATCATATTCTTCTCTTGATACTTCAACTAACAAGAGCAAGCTAACATACAATAACTCTGAGGCAGAAGTAAGACGTGAGTTCAGTTTCCATTACTTTTCGGGAAAGTTTCTGCAGCTGCAGCTGTCTATCTCTGACTATTGTTCGGTGCTGGACAAAGATATCTGTTATTCTGTTGTAGGTGAAAAACATACTTGTAAAAGCTGTGTTCAGTGTCTTTGAAGTGTCAGGCCTAATACTGAAACAGTGAACTGAAATATGAAGGGGAACGCAGAGACAAGGAACACTAATACTGAGCACTACTCATTTTGAAAATCTGTGAGAGTACCTGAGTCCAGCGATTATGAAAGGGGTCATAGGCCTCGACGCTAGCGAGTCTCTGAACCCCATCAAATCCACCCAGTGCGTAAACCTTCCCCCTATGAACAGCCATCTTGTGTCTCCAGCGACCAGTTGTCAGGGGCTCAATCTGAATCCACTTGTCAAGAGCACCGTTATATTTCCAAACATCATGCTGTGTCTCTTTACCTCCTGCAACAAAAGGAGATCCAGGGAAAAAAAAAAAAAACTCAAATTTGACACAGACCATCTCTCATCAAAATCAGTATATCTGTATATTCTTGATTATGATTGTATCTGTATTCTGTCACGCTTAGCATCAGTCATTCTTACAAAAGGCGAAAATTCCCACAACCTTATTTAAAACTTTCACTCTTCATATGTTGCTTGATAGTTTTAGTAAAGTGTGGAGCTGAAGTACGGTTGCAGTTCCTAAGTTGGAAAACACCTAAAACCACAGTAACCAAATCTACAGGTGGCGTCAAGTTTCCCTTGTTTGAAGCCAACGCTAATGACTCACTGGTAAAAGCTGCGTTATTTTACATGCAAAGAACTTCTGTAATTCCCACCATAGACCAGCCTTTGTATATAATTAGACTTCTCTTACCAGATATGTACACCTCATTGCGAAAGGTGACGCAAGCAAACTCCACCCATTTTTTGTTGTGGGATTCATCCTCCATTTCTGTGAATGGCAGCCTTGCTACTTCAAGCCTGCTACGTCTTAGAGGGTCCAAACAGGTGACAGTGGAAATAAAGCGTTCATCTTTGGTGCAGCCTCCAATTATCAGAAAAACCTCTGACAGAAAGTGCCGTACCCGGGGTTTTGTGCGCTCAGAGACTACCTATAAATATGTCATAAACATCCAAGGTTATTATACTATAAAACAATAAAAAAGCAAGTCAAATTATTTAGCCACAAGGAATAACAGCCTCCCACTGTTTTAAATATGTTGTATTTGTGGAATTTAAAAACATATATTTCTTAAAATGACTCTGCTAACATTTGACATTTCTTTCATCCATCATATACTGACCTCCCTGCCACACAGGTGATAAGTTCGAGCCTCCTGCAATAAAGGAAAAACTTCACTGCATCCACGGACCAGTTCATCCGACTCCACTTTTTCCACAAAGTATGCAGGCTCCAGCAGCGGCAGCCGCACATGTTGCAGCAGCCTGGCGAGTAGTGGAGAGCGTTCATCCTGCCTTGCCCTCACCCAGCGCATAAGAGCCTCAAAAACACACTCTTCGCATGTCACATCCAGGTCGTCCCTCTGCAAGACGCCCTCCAGGGACTCTGCGGGCAGCTCCAGGAACTCCTCCTGCTGGGTTACCTGGGAGAACTGAGAAGTGATGTAGTCTTGAGCTCTGGTCTTCAGGGCCGGCAGGGCATGGCTTTCGGCAAGGTTCAGGATCCCAATGCAACTCTCCAGGTGGAGGGACTTGCTGAGAAAGCTGGCACATGCGTCTACCACACGCATAAACTACAAAAAACAAGGTGAGCGCATGAAATCTTCAGTAACTTCATCAATAATCAGATTAAACAACTAAAGATTTCCAAGACTCATGATTTGAATTGAACATTTTGTTATGCAGTGATGAGACTTAATACACTGTAAATTTTCCATATGGCCCATTAAAGTCAGAATAGGCAAAACTCAAGTTACACTACTTCACATGAGTTAAAGTGTTAGAATTAAGCAAGCATATTGCAAGACACTCATAAAGGCCCAACAGGACTGAGATTATTTCCACCAAAGGAGATAGAAATGGCAGAAAAATATTCTTTAGGGGGTTTGTTCGCACCCAGAACTTAACGTCTTTAATGTTAAGAGACTGAGTATAATCGGAGAGAGCTTCAAGAAAAGTGTGTGAAACTTTATCGCTGCATGGGAGTTCCCTCACTTTCAGATCTTTGCTTTGATTCTAGTTTTTGTTCTGATCTACAAGAGAGAGTTAGCAATTGTGTTGCTCCCATTTCTGGTTAAGTTGAATATGAGATGAGCCAAACGCTCCAAAAAACACTCTGGGGCTTTGTCTCAACTCATCTTAGAAACCACAAAAATCACCAGAAAAAGTTAAAATCTCTGGCTCACAGGATCAACTTTTCTTATGTCCCTTATTGCTTCACTTTCCTGCTTTTTACAGGTTTTTTTTCTCTCAAAGTTTAACAAATCAGTGCTTTGTAACTTTTTTTGGGAAGCGCTTAAAAAATGTTTCATCACATCAGCACATCCTCAAACCGAACCACAATCTGCATGTGGTTCTAACTGTCGTCCTAAACTTAGTCCTCACCCTGAGAACAGTTGCAGAAACGGTTTTAACCTCACCACTTAACCTTCTTTTGATCTTTCAAATCTAAACCTTAAACTGTATGTCACAAAAATAGAAGTATAACAACACAAACACCTGCCGCCTCTGCAGCGTGGCGCAGCTGTGCAGTTAATTTAAGCCTTATGGAAAAACGATCCTAAGTGTAAACAACTGGCCAACTTTCACTTCCCTTTACGAACGGCCCGTCTCTCTGAGAGTGACATGTTTGTTCCACCGAAGAGCTGACTGAAGTGAAAACGATCAGAACAACTGGGAGATTTAGGATGTGGTTTAACACAGCAGCAGATAAATGAACTCGATAAGAAAAACATCAACATTTTGTTCCATATTTGAATAAATCAGTGCTGTTCTTTATTTTTCATGTGTTTGCTGGTAGTTCTGTCTCACAGCAACTTTGAACGAGTCTTTGGTGAAGACTGCGAGCAGAGTGACTGGTAATAATTCAACTTTGCTGAATCAAAACGCCAAGAATATCAAGTAAATTTACAAAATGAAAAGCTAATATTTCGCCGTCAGGCTGGGACATATTCGCTTCAGTTCTGGGGTTTTGTCTTTTGTCAGCTCCAGCAAAGTATCACATGATCATTCTCGTGGTTTCACTTAGCGTAGAATGAGAAAATGAAATCAAACCAAGTGACCTAACTGATTTATAGTCTGTCTTTAGATGTTGTAATCCAGGTCTACTCAATGTGAAGTCAGATTTATTAACAAACACTTTACTTTGGTAGGCTAAGAGTTTTTGTGGCTAGAAATGCTATGATTGTTGCTAATAAACTGCACACAAACAAGTAGGAGAATTCTATACCAGATCAGGATTGCACCAAAGCAAGTTACCATCTTAAACTTTTACTTGAAGTCATTTTACCTGAAATTGGCTGGCAGCTTCAAGTATTTTCTGGACATTAGAGTGAGTCAGAAGAGCTTTGCTGGTGTAGGTATATTCAAGGAGAGAGTGCATTGTTCCACTGTCCAACCCCTTCATCTCCACAGTTTCCTCATGACTCTCTCTCAGACCACTGCAAAACATCGCCCTACACACAAAAACATCAAGTCAGCAGAGTAACAAGTCATCTTTTTTTTTACAAGAAAGTACCTTGAGAAACCATATGTTACCTGAAGTACTGACTGGCTGCAGCAAGTATGGCCCTATGACAGGGGAAGTCATGCCCCTGAACACACAGCACCACATCTGTGAGCTCTCTGTTCACTCTGAGGGTCTCCATCCCTTTCTGAAGCTCCACAGGGAGACCTCCATCTTCCCAGTGTAGCTCACTCGAACCCGCCTGGTTGTCTCTCTCCTCATCAGGGCCGGAGTTGTCTCCAAGAAGCGGCAGGGGACAGTCTGTAGTCCTCTCCACGGAGTCACTCATCTTCTACACCAGAAGCTCCTGAGATTCTCGCTCTTTTTGAGAAGAACAGCGTGCAGCTACTTTGGGTGCACCTGCAGCAGTACACGGCTCCCTGTGGTTTGCGCTTGCAACAGTTCTGTCGCTTTGAGATGTGGATTTGTTTTTTCCTGTCCTCTTCATACTTCCTATTCCTGCTCAGAGAGGAACATGCGTATGTAGCAATACTTGTTTCTAGACACTTCCTCTTCTTGTGCTGAGTTAATTTCCCCCAAGTTACTATTATTTTCCACACTTTTACCGCAAATACACGTCTCCTGTACAAGTTTACACCAGGTGAAGAAAACTGCAAATCAGACCCAAATTCTTATCTGGATAGACTGCAAGTGTAAAATTTTTAATACAGCTTTAAATGTGTATTTGTGGGCCTATAAATCGGAAACAAGCATGAAAATAATGCCTTGTTTAGTTGGCTGGTGAGTTAAGAAAACCCTCTGTGTGAGATTCACTACTTTTCACAGGAAAGGTTCATTATCTGGTCCTAGGACACAGGATCATATAAATCTTTCCAGACCTGTTTAGACCTTCAGCTTACACAATAGGTGCCCCTATAGAGGAGCGCATACATGTCATATTTTGGGATTGTTATCAGATATAACTCTCAGGCATTTATTATAAAGAGAAATCACAACATTTCTTACCCCACTTTGTCACTCTGAGAAAGTGATAGCCCGTGTTACAACATATGAGGGTATTATTTTCTGTTTGCACTCTTACATACTCCTACATACTTTTTTGATCTGCAGTTCACTCTTTGTTTTAGTACCTTCCCTCCCTGCCTCTGTGTTCCTGACTCTTGATTCCCCCCCTCCAGGCATAAATAAAGGCTTTATCTTATCTCATCTCATCTTTTGCGCTCACTCCCCCCTCAAAATAAAAACAACAAAATAAAATAAAAAGACAGGGGAAAAGATAAAAGTCAAGGCTTGAATTTGACCCACCACTGTCCTAACATAAACCACATAGAGTACTGTCTCCTTTTTGAATAGATGCATGATATTTCTTCAGCATTTACTGTTTTAATCTGAGACGCTAAATGGCCTGGCTGCTAAATAATAGATATGAAAATCACAGTTACAGCAGACATGTTGACCTTCATCTTCTCCACTAAGTGGCACTGTTGCTTCATTGGTCTGCACAGATGATTTTGAGCGACGCAAACGAGCCCTGGCCTTTTTTTCTCATCAGAGTTTGCTGAAACGGGTCAACTTTAGACCCAAGCTGTTTCCTAGCAACGTAGTTCAAGCTTCACTCCTTATTGTAGTCACTCTTGTAACTTTATAATGCGATTAAAAAGTTTATTCTTCATTATAGAAATTTCAGGGAACCAAAATTGCTCATAGTTAGATTTGAAATAAAACTTTATAATATTGTCTGAATACTTTGTTAAAGAAGCACAAATTTTTAGACATGCCTGGAAGTTTGGAGTTGTCAGTGGAAGGCGTCACATGACAAGTGGTTTTCTGCATCACAAGCTCTAGCTTCATATTATTGCAGGTATTGATAATGTTTATTTCTCATTAACTCTTCTTTTTTTTCCCAATAACTCATCAAATGCTGTTATTTGTGTGAGTTGATTCATCCTTTTATTTGTGTGTCTTTTCAAATGAAGTCAGACTTAATCATGTAAGTAAGCTGCAGCAGGACAGTTTGATATTGACCTAACAACATATGAATTTAGCTACATTATAGAAGTTGGTACTAGTCTTGGGTTTTGAGTTTCATTATGTCAAAACTTTACCAAAATAATAATCATACTTCGTCATTTCTGAGAGATGATGAGAAATGCATAGGTAGCACACAACTGTGTACATCAGACAGGAACTTAGTCAGACTTCCTCTTTTGTAAGCTGACTACAGGAAACATAAGCCACATTTTATAATTCTGTCTGCCAGATAGAGACAGACTGAGAGCTTGTATGGTCACATCTGCTTGCGTGTGAACACCGTAATTTCTGAGAGCTGGTTCAGGATGAGGAGCTCCCTTCAGTCCCTGTGGAGGGCCAATTTGCTCCTTTATCTTGGACTATTTCTGCACTGTGGTAAGTAGAACATTGAATTGCTGCAGATGGATTGGATTCAGGTGAATGATCATGCTGAGTTAAATTTTGGTAAGATACTAGGTACTCATTTTGTAAAAAGAGGGGCTATGCCCTTGTGCATTTAAGGCAAGTTATTTCAAAGAGAAGAGCAAATGTGGTGTCAGCCGCTGAATCCATTTTGAATTATAAAAAAATATGTATTTATGTATTTTCTTAACATGTATGTATCTTGCTATAGTAATCTAGTGAATGATAATAAAAATTAAACATTTATTTATGAAGCTGGAGTTTTCAGATAAATGAATCACTAAGTGTTGCTTTGGTAATCATTTTTGTTAATAAAATACTTATTTTCAAAGGCTTGCTGTTAAGGTCTTTGATGCAAAATTAATTGTTTACTTCTGTAATTATCTACCTTGATCAATTTAATAGTGGAAGGAACACACATAATGGGCAAATCATTTTTCAAAAATAAAAATGCAGGATAATTGCCCCTCTTGTTTATGAATTAAATCTTTTTTTCCCCTTAGACTCTTTTGTGTATTTAGAGACACTTTTCTTTGTGGATACCATTAACGAGTTAGAGTGATATACTGTAAAAGTGTATTTTTTCACTTTTTTTTTGCCTCGTCACTTGAAGGAAACAGAGGTTTGCTTGAGGACCCAACAATACCGCAACAAAAGTTTGAACCTTGATTAGAGCACTGTCAGTAAAAAACAAAAACTTAACACTCAGAGCTGCAGTTTGATTTGTGTTTTGTTCTTGCTTGACCCAGGAGAGGCCAGAGTGAACACTGAAGCACCAAGCGGACCTCTGTATCGTGTTGTAGGAACACCGCTGTACATCTCCTGCAATGTGAGTGGATTCAGTAATGCAGACATGAAAAAACAGTTTGAATACACTGTTGTGAAGCCTGGAAGTAGAAGAACGGAGAACATTATAAGCTCCCGTGACCCGGGTTTTGGCTATGCCTCATATCTGCGCCGTATTGAGAGGAAGGAAATCAGCCTTACACATATATCCGCAAACCTAGTCCTGTTTGAGATACCAAGCCTGATGAAGAGTGATGAAGGGGAGTATGAGTGTACTGTGATCAACGCAGACACTAATTATGATGGGGCCTATTCTGCTAAAACATCAGTGAAAGGTAATCAGCCTTTTTTTTTAACTTTAAGACATACTTCTCAATGTAACTGCACAGGTGTAAGTGAAGCATTCATGACTCTTTTTCTATTTCTGTCTCTAGTGATTGACAACTCCCTGAGTGTTTCATCACCTGCCCCCACCTCACAGAGCTATAATGAGGGAGATGCTTTCACTTCCACGTGCCAAGCCTCCAGCAACACCATCCAGCACACCCACCTGTCTTTCGCCTGGTATCTCCATAGAGATGGGGAGGAAAACGCTCAGCCCATCATTTCTCTGGACAGATATTTCACCCTGAGTCCCGGTCCAGGCTTTGAGGAGCGTTACCAAGCTGGACACATCAGTTTAGATAAAATAGGAGAGGCCACATACAAGCTAAAGATGGCTGAGCTGCAGCTGTCAGACCAAGGCAGGGTTTTCTGCCAGGCTCAGGAGTGGATCCAAGAACCAGACCGCTCCTGGTACTCCATTGTACAAAGGGAGGCTGAGGCAACTACCCTGACAATCAAAGCTAGAGGTTTGAAGCAGTGACCATTAAAATGATTTTATATTTTAAACTGAACACATTTTAAAGCATTTCATTTTTTCTCACTCTGCGGCTTCTTCACAGGATGTGTCTGTGTCTCACTGTGCTTTTTTTTCAGAGGTGTTGCCAGACACAATGTCTCTGGTGGTGAGTATCTCTATGCAGTCTGGTTCTCTGCAAGTTGGGCAGAAGCTTTCGATCTCCTGCAAAGTAAACACGCAGAACTCCGAGGATGGGCTCCTCTCTGTGGCCTGGTGGAAGGGAGGTGTGGAGCTGGCCCGCATGGGCCCGACAGGCATTCTGTCAGTGGGGCAAGAGTATATAGCACGAAAAGAAGAGCTCAGCATTACCCGTATCAGTGACAAAGATTTCAATCTCAAACTACAGCCTGTCAGAATAGAGGACCAGGGAGATTATAAATGCAAAGCATGGCCTCAGAAAAGAGGCCAAGATGGTGCTTTCATACAGGGAGCAGCCCAGGACTCCACCCATGAGAGGATTGACATCTCGGCCACAGGTCAGTCAACAAGAGACCCACCCAAATAAAGTCCTGATGTAACTATTATGATGCTCATGCCATCTGTCTGTGCCTTTATCTCTCCACAGAAAGCAGGCTCTCGGTTGAAATGCAAAACGAGGCACGTGTAAACGAAAATGATGCGCTGAAGCTCACATGTAGAGTGCATGGCTATAGAAGACAGCTGTCGGTCACCTGGCAACGCAAATCAACTCGCACATCATCATCATCTGTGTTCACCCCGGTCATCAGTCTAAGTCAGGAGGGTGTTACGGCAAAAGCAGCAGAGTTTGAAAGCCGGATGATAAAAGCATGGCGTCCAGCAGCCAACACCTTCATCCTCGAGCTTGATGGAGTCACACCCTCTGATTCAGGAGACTATCAGTGTGCTGTGTCTGAATGGGAAAACAATGACATGACCAACAGTCACTCACAAACCACCAGTGTGACAGTGGTTGGTAAGATACATTTATATTTGTCTGAACATGCACACAACAAGTTCCTAAAAAAATCCAAAACATGAGGATTGAATGTAGATGTTGGCCAGTCTGTGAGAATGAATCCTGCAAAGAGTAAAAGACACAGTGAGGAGTCTTTATCGCCTAATACGATTAGGAGGAAGACTAAATGCGTCTATTTAATTTGTTATCAGTGCATGTAACCCCTGCCATGAGGTGAGTCAGCCTTAGCAACTTTATGCATGTAGACAAAAGTTTGTAGTTGTTGACAACATTCAAAGAAAAGTTTGGGCCATTAAAAGACAGTGGGAGAAAATATTCTGTAACAGGAAACTACTTGTGAATGCACATTTATAAGGAGCCACAACATACTTCTCTGCAAAAAGGCATCGCCAAAGATTCCTCGCTGTAGCAGAGTCCAGATTGCAATGTAATGGTATTTGCTGACTGTAAATTTAGGATACTGCAGGTTAACGTTTCTAACTGTTTGGACAACCCGCTCAGCCCTCTGCAGCGCCGATATCACTTTAATTTGCATGCAGGAAATCTAAAATTCTAATTAAGGGAAGGAACTGAGTGCATTTATGCTCCGGAAAGGGTGAACCTTTTACATTTCAGCTCTGCTATCTCAGGTCAAATTCTTTGCTTTGCACTTGAGACTTTTTTTAAAACTTAAAAGCAGGATACATGCAGACATTTGCACAAATATGCCTTTTGATACTCGTCTGCACAAACAAGTACATTCCTTTGATAAAACTTCGTTTTCAGGATTCCTTTTGCGCTGTTAAATATTCGTGTGTTGTAGGGTGTTATCACTTTCACCAGGTTCAAATCTGATATTTAGTTTATGGTTGAAATCTGGTGTGTAGGGTTGACAATGTAGATGAGAATTAATTATTTAAAACCATTAGGAAATAAAAGACTGTATCAAGCAAAAATTGCAACAACTGATAACAGCTGATATACAAGAGTAAACTGCCTGAAGATTGCTTGACCTCAACCTTTTCCAGCTTTAAAGTCCCACTCTGATTGTTTTTTTTTCTACTTAAAGTGTTATCAGTGGTCTAAAAACTGTGATTATGAAGTTTTTAGACAAAATCATGTTACCTGTTTTGTTTTTAAGGACTTTTCTTCTGCAGAGCTCCAGTAGATCAGCGGAGACAGTGCTGCTCTACACACTTGTCCTCGAGTTAGCTTGCAGCCTAACATTGCTGGTGTTGTAGAGGTAGCAGGTAACATAGGAGCTATTCAGCTCTCAGACACTATTGTCTTTAGGGGCACAATGAAAGCTAATATCATAATTAGCTTTCTTACGAGCATTTCAATCCACTAACGCAGATGCTTGTTCCGCGATCATCCTCTCTATTTCTCCAAGCCTGGCCTGCATAGCCGGGCTCCGGGTGGCGGAGCTTGGATTGCTTACGTAGGAAATCTCATTATCTGATCCTGCTATTACGTCCTGCCAGAGATTTACAGCGATTTGATTGCAGAAATACTCAGAAATGCAGTTTCGTACTTCTTTTTCTCATGATATGTCCTCTAGTATCAGAAAAATGTCTGTTTTTACCCTAATCTCTCTGTAATCAAGCACTTCTCCTTTTCTATTTGTGTTGCAGAGTCATCTGTGAGAGTGACCCTTACAAGTCGTGAGAACAGGGTGACTATAGGAGAAAACGTGGACCTGATGTGCCGGGTCAGAAACAAAAATGTACCTGTAACAGTGACATGGACTGTGCAGCGTGAAGCTATCGTAGATAACATCCTGACGGTATACTCAGATGGTACCATCAGCTGGTCTGGAGGGCAGAGCGGTTATCAGCTTAAAGTGCAGAAGTCAGAAAATGGGGATATTCACTATCTGTCTATCAACGGGGCCAGCAAATTGGAGGCAGGAAGATACCAGTGTATCGTGTCTCAGGATTCACACAAGAGGCCAACTGAATCAAACTGGCTGGCTGTGGAGGTGGAGACGCCAGGTACTGCTCAGGTTTGGTATGTGGCTTAGTGTGCTTTCTCCCTGCATATGTCTCACTATCTCTTCACTATCTTCTTCTTCTAGCAAGCAAACTCAGTCTGACCTCAGCCAAGATGGTGACGACTTACATCGACGCTGACGTACAACTGAAGTGCTCGGTCAGCTCAGGAGCGTCTTCATCATCTCGCTATGCTGTCACCTGGAAGCTCGAACAAAAGGGAGAAATGAAGGACGTCGTGAGCTTAGATCAGGATGCTACAGTTACATTTGGACCCGAGATAGAGCCGAGCCAGAGACAGAGAATCAGCGTGAAGCACACTAAAGGCCCGAGTTTTGAGCTGGCTATTCGGCAAGCTTGGTTCTCAGACAACGGCTCCTACATATGCATAGTGAAGGAGTGGCTCCAAGATCCTCGTGGTGGTTGGTATCAGCTCCCACCAAAGAACGAAACTATAACCCTAATAGTCATTGAGTCAGGTAAGGCTTTAAACCTCAAATTTGTTAAAAAAAATCTCAAGCAAAAACATCTTCTTTTACACCTCAGGTTTGGTAGCAGCTAAAGTTGATTCTTTTTGGTAATTAGAGGGAGCGAACCAGGCTGTTTGTGCTAAAACAGAGACCTAAAACTCATGATAGTCTTACAATCACAGTTTAAAGACTGGTGTCAACCTTGTCCTGAGAAAATATGTATGAATATTCCACAAAATTGCACTGAGATGTGATAAGAAGCACACCGTATTACCAACATCATATGATAGTTTGCTTGTTTGTCTGCATGAAGTTTTATGCCGTGTATTTCTCAATCACATGCAAATTCAACTCCTCAAAATAACCACTTCTCTGTTAGAGCAGTCATATGTTTTACCCGAGAATGTATGTATGGATTTTGTGTGTGTACATCTTTGGCACTTGTTTGGCTTTTTTTTGCAGTCATAGATTTACTTAGCGATGTGTGTGTGTGTGTATTTTTGTATTTGATTCAGCCTCTAACAAAGCCCCCTAATCTCCCTTCTGTCTCCTCTTTTCACCCTCTTCCCTATCTGTCTGTGCTCTTGGGAATTTAATTTAAGGTCTTATTGATTGGTTGCCTTATTAAACTAATGTTGTACGTGTGCTTTTTCACAGAACAAAAACTAGCTGTTTCAAACAAAGATGGGAAGTTGAATGTGAGCAGCTCTCAGGATTTCACTATCCCCTGTCATATCACCGAACAGTCCAACAAGAAATCTGAGTTCCAGGTCACCTGGTTTCGGAACAACACACTAAATGAACAGCGCCCTGTATTCACAGCTTACCGCAACTCCACCCTACAAGACAGGTATGGGAAAAAGGATAAGCTGAGATTTGGCCATGCTTCGTCCAACCATTACAGCCTTACAGTGCTGGAGCCTAATCCTGAGGATAGTGGCCTGTATTTCTGTGAGGTAGAGGAGTGGATACAGTCTCTATCCCATGGCTGGAGGAAGATCGCCACAAAACAATCAGGGATTTTGACTGTTTACGTCTATGGAAAAGGTAAAAATGACCAACTGAGGGCTGTCTATGCTTGAATGTTTCATACAAGCTTTTTTGGACACGAGTAATAGAGTAATTGGTGTTCTTCTTTACAGGAAATTCTGGAGCTTCCACTGACCAGGGATGCAATTTGGGGACCTGGATAGGAATTTTGGTTGCTTTCATTATCTGCTCACTGCTGGTTATATTTCTACTGGTGCTGAAGATATGCAGGAGCAACGTCTCCGGAGGAAAGAAGTCCAACCAGTCTCTGTGGACAGAGCAACATCCTCTGAACACGAAACCCAGCGCAGAGGACTGAACTTTACAGAGCAGAGGAGGGGGGAGATAATGAGAAAATGCACTCACAGGCCATTTTTTACTTGGAAGTAATCTAAGAGATGAGGTTTCATAATTCAAATAGTTCGGATGTAAATATTTTTTATTCATTTTTCGCTCCGAGACCAATCAGTCTTGTTTAAATTAGTCTGTTGATAATGTTCCCTCAAAAAAAGTTTTAATGTTTTAACTTTCGGAGCAGCAAGGGAATAATCTAGCCGTTATGAATTAATGGAATTCATTAAACCCTTAAAATTAAACATGCTCTTTTCATTTTACAGCTAAAACTCTTTTGCATAATCACCAGTTTCTCACTGCCTGCGATGGACAGTTGAGCCAGGCAGCAGATCGACTTTGCGGCTTTACAGTGCACCCTACAAAGTAACACAGACTGACTGACAGATTACTTTTTAATGTAGCAACATAGCAGGCAGCTTGTCTGTGATGGGGGGATGTCAGAGCGCTGCATATCTCAGGGAGAAGCTAAGCACGAAATGTGATTTGATATGAAACTTTTCTCTGTAGAGAACACAGAGAGTCAACCAGGAAGTGCTCTGCGGGTTCTGCAAGAGCACACAGGATGGGTGTCTGGTGACTTTGTGGTCAGCTGTCTGCTGATTTTTTTTAGTTTGATGCATTTCAGCAGACAGTCAGCTCTTTGGTTATAGTGTGGGGGTTTGCACATCTGTCGGTGCAAGTATGAATTTGATTTTACTCAAATGTTTTGAGTATGATTGTTGTGTAGAGATGTTTGTGTTGAATGAATGTGTTTGTAAAGTCCTAATTGAATTAAACTTTTTTTTTTCTGCTTGTCCGTTCTCCAGCACATCTGATTTGAAATTCAACAACAAAATGACTTTGGTCTATATTTTAGTGTTGGAGAAATCTCCACTTTTTTCACAATAATATAATGTACAGCTGTGAAAGGGACTGAACAGTTTGGACAAAGCTTTAACTTTGCTAATCATGCATAGGAGATTCTGAATCTGGGCCAGATTCAGAATCTTGAATAGAGCTGCCAGGGTAGCCCTTGGTTGTTCTTATTGAACGAATGTGAATGAGATGCACACCACCTTAGAGTGGCTAAAGGTACAGAACAAGCTAATCATAAGTATTCTTTGCCATATTCATACTGCCATAGTCGAAGGGTATCTAACTTTCTTTGTGGACAAACTGGTGTACAGTGGTTATTGTCATCAACATGTCACTCGACAGGTTAGCTCTGGTCATTTAATTGTTCCATTCTCCAATTCTCCAATTGTATGGGGAGAACAGTGTTATTTAGATCTTTGGAAATGTGGAATCAATTGCCAAGGAGCACACAGCAAATATGCAGTAGGTATTATTTTAAAAGGATTTTCAAACAAAACTGTATGCATGAATGAACTATAAAAGCATAGATTTTGGAGAGATTTTAATGTTTTAATGTTGTGAAGAATCATGAATTTAATCTGTAATTGTATTTATTATTGATTAATTTTTAAAATGTAATTGTATTGTGATTTTAAGTTTTTGGACCCCAGGAAGACTAGCAACCACTTTGTGGAAGCAAATGAGGTTCCAAACAAACAAATAAACAAATAAAATCATGGTGTAATACAAATATGCCTACCAATTGGTACCAATATGTTACCAATTAGTTGGAAATGAAACACAAAACTAACAGGGAAGTTCATGTAAATGATTTCAGTTTTGTCCACTTGAGGCTGGCAGGAAAAGCCAGGGAAACCCCATCGAACAGGTGTCACGTTTTCAAGTGCCTGTTTGCACAGCAAAATTTTAACAGATTATAGATGTTTTCTGAAACAGCTCCTTCATTTATTTGTACACACTGTGCTGAGATGAACTATTATACAAAGGATGTGTTTTGATTTGATTAAGATTAAGAGCTACACACAAACCACCATTGTTGAGCTCCAAATCACCTCTTCAGAAACCAATGTGGGAAGTCTAAGAGGCCATGTTTCACATGGTCTGTGGTGGATCTTGCTAAAGGTTATCTAATTTAAGGGACACTATTCTTACTTGTGCACATGCAGTCTAGATTTTACTTGACGGTAGCATATTTCTCTTGTTGAGCTCTAACTTCTTGTTTTTTAAACTGAATAACTGAAAATGAGACAAAGTACTTCATATAATGATTTTGGGTTTTTTCATAGTTGACACATCCATTGCAGTTCTTTAATGCACAATGTTGATCGATGGCACGCAGTGAGCAAAAACAGTTCTTTGACTGAAAAGGACACAACCCAAACTTATCTGATCATTTCTGTCAAAACCCCTGTAAAGTACTCGTGTGGTATATGATCATACAAGAATTCACGATTCTGAATTTCTGTCATAATGCAGTTCCACTTGTCAACAGATGTTCCCTCTCAACAAAACTGGATGCTGGAGAGCAATCAAATCCGACCTAAAGAGGAGAAAGAGTGTAGTGCCTCTCTTTCTCCCTGCATCAGCCCTATCAATGTTTAACACCCCATCTGTGAGAGAGACAAGAATAGAATCCATTTCTTGCTGTCACTTTTGAGGAAATGTGCCTAGACATCAGATACTCTCCTGTACAGTGAAAGCCTCTTGTCTGATAAGTGCCTACCTGTTATGTACAGCATAGAGTAAAACTAATACGAGGTTTTCAAAAAGATGTCAAAAACCAGAAGTTCACGGAAGAACTTTTAAGATAGGCTGTAGTGTTCTCAGCCCCGGGGAGATGATGTAGCACCGTCTTTTGTCTTGAATTATACCAGCCCTTCACAGTCTGGTGGACCGGCTCCTTCTTACAGCTTCCCTCTTAACTTTACTGTAATTCCACTCCCTTGTGTTTCCATGGCAATGCCTGTCAGAGCAAACAAAGAAACATTGAATTTGGGAGGCAAATCAATGCTTTGTCAAATCAGTGCAGCAAGGACTGAATGTAACGGGGAGAAACCGCTGTGCTCAACAGCAGCCATGCTAGACCTCCTTGTCATGCTTTGTGCCTTTATAAAGTGTGAACATCAGCGTATTAAACAGCACATCATCAGTTCTTGTTTTGACATTGGATACAGTGCATTAAGCATGAAGTGGGATTTATGAGACTTCATCTATAATCCTCTACTTTCCAAATAACAAGAACCCACAGCTATATAAGGCATCCAGTACCCAGTTTGACCTACTGAAGCTGGTTGGTTTGAGCCAGCTAACTCTACTGCTGGGATATCAATCCAGGTCTGATCTGGCACCAGATTGATGCTGTTAAACAACATTTATGGGAATTCTGCTACTATTGTTTCATGCTGCACTGAAGTACCTTGAACTGCCGGAACAGCAACATTGCAAGTGCACAAACATATCCACCGCTATCACAGATAATCCAAGGAGATGGTTACACAAGTCCCAGGTAATCTGATCGGTCAAAGGTGTTCTGTGAGCGCTGATAAAGAGTATAACAGCACCTTTAACCTTATATCACTCCAGCCAGGTGACCTGACTTCCTTGAATAATGTCACTTATGCCACCGTCTGCAGGATAAACTGAAACAAGAAAAATGTCAAGGATATGAAATAGCTCAGGGTTATAACATATACAAAAAGGCAAGAGTGTTGCTTGGCAACAGTCCAGATCCATTCAAGCTACAGAACTCATTATGTAGGCAATATCAAATATTGTAATTAAAAACAAACTTTAAAAATAATCTGTTTATGCTTACTATGGTTTACTATGCCACTCGTACAACACAGCAGCATTATTGGATTGGAGGTCATGCTTTTAACCAGCTGTGATTAACTTTGACAGATGGCCTGCTGCCAGGACTGGAACATTTCTGCACTGATGCACATTTCATACCAAAAGTTAGTCGGTGCAGATCATACAGGTTTCAGCTCGCAGCCGTTCCCACTGTATCTGTGTACGTAAACAAGAGCTGCACTCCTAAAACGCCTCATTGGGAGATTGAATGCATCACGCAAGTTTGTCCACTTCAATTACTCCTTTAAATGCATCCTACTTTTCCTTGGTTGTGAAGGATACACAGGGCACATCTTTGGGGGCTCAATTTATTAATGATCCTTTACACAGCAGTTCAAACAAATTGATGAACTCTTGAGCAACTGAGTGATACACAGTTTAAGTTCAGTATTTTGGTTTCAGCTCAGTGAAACAGATACACATTTTCAGCAAAAAAAAGACCCCTTCAAACATTAATGATGATAATGGTGATTTTAAGCCTGATTTTAACCAGCTAGCTACTTGTTGCTTGGTGACAGGGGTGTGACCGTAGACTGTATATACTATGGACAACTTGGTTTCGCATTTCTGCCAGCATACGTAGTTCAAGCCGAAAAGCTCTGGGTAATTCTGTGTTTTTTCTCCATTTCCTGAAACCAACATTGCGCTGCAGCGTTGATACGCACTCCATCACTTGCACAGTAGCATCGTACAAGTTCGGCGGGAGAGTCACTGTGATGACAGCGTATCGCCTGGGTGAGCTATGCAATCTTCGTCCACCCATAGGCTGTATCAAGTGTGAATCACAGAAAACATGAACCCCCTAATAACTTTTAAAAATGGAGCTGTACAGAAAAAAGAGGACTTGAACACAAACCAGTCTTACAGTAACTACATGTCAACATCACATCCAGGAGGGAGAAAAATTTATATTCTGTGTAATAAATTTCTAAAGTTTGTCAACAACTTCATAAGCTTTGCTGCAGGAGGCAGAACCTGTACTGCAGCCAGTCACCAGAGGGTGCTGTTCTCATGATGGCTTCACCCAGCGAGGAGGCAGGCACTGTCTATTCTATATACAGTCTATGGGTGTGACTGTGTGACTCAAAGGTAGGGAGGTTCAGCTGGTCATGTAAAAAGGGAGTCCTTAGCAGATCAGAACATTTAATTGAGGTCAGTCTGAGCTGAACTCCAAGGAATGCTTCCATTGATTTGCACCACAGCATGCATTTCCTGCACACCTACATAGCATACTGCCATTAATGTCATTAGCTCCCC